GACATCCTGTGGGGCTATGTGGATAAATAATACATAAGAACAGGATTCAGGGTTCTGATTCATATCATCCTTAAATCAATAAGTATCTGTGCAGGCTTCACTGGCAAACTATACACCATGATATTTCAAGTTATCTGTTGTAGTATGAAAATAGCAGCACCCTAACCTGGGGCTTAGGGTTAATTCAGGGTATGGTTATTGTGTTGGCAACAGCTTCTACACCTTAAACAAATTCACACCTGGGTGGCCCTAGGGCCGGCCATCCTCATTACACGAGGAGCAACCATAATGTGTGTTTGTGTTTTATTGATTTGGCATAATCTTGACCCGTGTTTTTATTTTATTTTATTTTTACAAAATCTGAAGACCTTATTGAAATAGACATTTTGTTTTAAGAAAGTTTGACAAGTTTGATTGGATTGGAAATGTGGGAGTTGTATAATTTAAGGTTGTCAGATGAAGTAAATCTCTCTCTTTAAGTTATACTTAAAGTTTAACGAATAATTTTTCTTTATTTCATAACAGGTCATTGGAGGGTTAGTGAGTGTGATACGACCAAGTCCTTCTGTAACAGAGATTGTGTCACGTTCTCAACTAGGAGCTCTGCTGCGCCATGCTCTAACACTAGACACTACCTGGGGAGCTCCCTGGGCCCTGCACGCTCTCACCTGCCTGCTGCAGGATATCCTGGAAGGTAATTATTGTCAGGATGATGGGTTAATAAGCCTTAAAAAATTTGTGATCGTAATGGTTAAGTTCGTTTTATACAGACTGGGTTTATCCTTTAAATAATGGCGAGCTTTTACATAGACTATTTGGTTTGACGGAAAAAATAGGGTTTTAGGAAATGGGTGAAATTCTAACTGTTTTCATAGGAAAAGGACAAGATTTGTGCACTGAAGACATTGGTGTAATAAGATTTGGTATATGCCTAATGAGAGCCATGAGCAGTGGGAGGGAAGATGCTGCATATGTAATCAGGTGGGAGACCGGGACATTGCCACTTGGGCCAGCTTTGGACCTGTTTTTATTGTTGATTCCTTATTCTATTCTTGTATGCTGAGCCTCTTATGGTGAACGATTCATCTTAAATAATGTAACATCTTCAATAATGGAAAAATAGAATATATGATTTGTAATTTGACCTGAGAATAAAAGGATAAGCTGTATTGGAAGATAGCACTTCCCTGACTCTCTCTTCCACCTGTGTTAAGTAGGTTAAGTATATTTAAGTGTTTATTGTAAAAAAAATCCCATGTTTTTTAATTGCAATTTTTTCTTTAATATTGTAGGTGAACGTCTTTATGGCAATGTGGTGGTGAACACAGACCAACACAGAGAGGAAGTTGATACTTATGATATTGTTTTGGACACTGCCAGAAACATTGCCTCCTCTAGTTCAGCGGGCCCATCTGGCACCTCAGGGCCCTCGGCTTCTCCAGGCTCTTCGGGTGCCACTGTACTATCAGTCTTGACGCCAGCGGGGGCATCAGGAAATGGAGCAGTTTCCACAGTCAATGAATCAGCTGGTGAGGGAGGTGGAGGATCCCCTCAGGAGGGTGCCACAACCCTGGGGACATGTGTGGCCACCCAGAACTGTCAAGCTGATCAGTCAGCAACTCCACTGAGTCCTCCAGTTGTCAGCATGGCCACGGCTCACTACAGTGCCACCATGGAGGTGGAAGATCTACCAGGTAACTTGCTGCATGATCTATCAGATACCCCAGGGCTTAAGCTTCATCTGTATATTGTGATTCACAAAGATATACAGGTACAGTCAGTTCTGCTACAACGCGATAGTTGTGATCTTGTAAAACCTTACGTTGTAGAAATTCGTGCAATAGAAATAACAGGGCTTATGGAGAAAATAGGGTTAGGTGCAGATTACTCAAAATTGAAAAAAAATTAGTAGTTAGCCTAACACAAAGGATAGCACAGTCTAAATAAATGTTACATTCATATCTAATAATGAAATCATACAGTAAATGTAACACTTTACCTTGAAAAATTATGAATATAACTTGATGGGGGAGAAGGTTAATGTTGAGGTTGAGGAGTCATGCAGACAGGAGTTGAGAGTTGTCACTTTCAGTATCATCATCAGGTGCAGTTTTGGTTGCATGGGAGGGACCAAAAAAACGTCTAATTCCAGAAGTGGATGGCTGTGGTTCAGTGTCTTCAGTCTGCTTCTTGGGGGTTGACTTAAAAAAGACGTCTAATGTTTGCTGCTTTGCCGTCTTTCTTCTTTCACAAAGAAGCTGTTCATAAGGTGCCAAAAAAGATTTAACACCACAAACTGCAATCTTGCTCCGCTGCATTGTAGTCATTGTCTTCCAAGAGCTGCAGCTGCTTATCAACTTCCCTCAGGATAGAAGACAAAAGAGAAGTGGGAAGCTCTCGTGGTTTTGCATCCTGGACTTCATCATCTTCGGCATGCGATCACCAGAACGCTTCTTGGAGATATTTTTCTTTTCCATATTCACAGTTAATACCACAAAATTGGAGAAATAGTAAGCAAAAATCACTGAGGACGCTTCAAAACAACCCACGTGTTTCAACTGATCGTGTGATGGAAACAGAGAGCTCGGGTGTAAAACGCTATTAGTCCGCACTGCCAAACATTATTTTTATTTATTTTTTCCATACAGTATTTATGGGAACAGCTAAATTTGCAAAAAAAAAAAGGATGAAATGTATAGAGTCCCTATCAAATAACACTTCTCAAACAAAGCACATGCATCAATTGAACATGTGATGTCAAACGTGAACTGTAAACACTGCATAACCCCGCGCCAAGCGACAGTACACTTAAAACGTTTGAGTGGAATCGCGTTACAGCCAACACGCGTTCGCGTTTTACAAATATCATTTTTCTATTCATCAATCACGTTATAGCCAATTTGTGTTGACAAAACACGCGTTGTTGCAGAAATGACTATATATTAAATTGCAGGGGCAATTCGAAACCACAACTTCGATATGACAAAATGTCGGAATCTGTGTACTGTAGTTTGCTGGCTACAGCACTTGAAAGATGTTGAGGTAATGATAGGTGAGATTGAAGTGAAATAGATAAAGAGTCAATTTCAATTTCAATTGTTTATTCCTTGATAGAGGAAGCGGGATCCTAGTGCTGTCACTAGGTACCCCTGTACAATGACACCAGAAGCATCCGGCAAGTGTGACAAGTATATACAGTATAAATATTATAAAGGGGCTTACTAAAGCCTAAGGAAGGAAGGAAGGATATTCCTTTAACACATAATCAATATTATTTACAATATATCTGGCCAGTATGGGGAGGATCATCGTGTCTCCGTCAGGGGGTCGTGGAGTGGTGGTCCAGCAGGCGTCAATGAAGCGTTGTGTGTGGGGACATCTTAGGAGGTAGTGGAAAAGGGTGCTGCTGTCGGGTCTTCTGCATAATGCACAAGAGGATAAAGAGTCTTGTTTACTTTTATGCACATAGCTCTACACCATGTGATACAGAGGCAAAGAGGGGAAATTTGAACATTTACTGTAATAATGCAAAACTCTTATGGTTGTATAACTCCAACCTTACTATCATTATCTCAACATCTTTCATGTGTTGTAGCTAGCAAACTATTTGAATTTCGACACATTGTTACATACTGTATACATCATTGTGGCTTAGAAGTGTCCCAGGAATACATCCTGCATTTAATCTACACCTTTGTGAATCACATTGTGTGTGTGGGTGTGTATATATATATATATATATATATATATATATATATATATATATATATATATATATATATATATATATATATATATATATATATATATATATATATATATATATATATATATATATATATATATATATATATATATATATATATATATATATATAACTGCATTGCATGTGCATGTGCACGTGTGTGTGGGTGTGCACGTGGTGTGTGGGTGTGCACGTGTGTGGGTGTGCACTGATACCAAAAATAATAGTCAATAACTTAACCAGTCTTATTTGACCTAATGAATCCCTGTGTAACCTAACGTAATCTTACTCATCCTAACAACCTTACCTCACCAACCTGAGCTAGTTCAGCCTTACTTAAGCTAACATAATATAATTTAGCTGTTCCCAACCTATCCTAACTTAATTCAATTGATTCCAACACAACTGACTTCATCCCAGATTAATCTGTCCCAACTCGGTCTTACATAACTTTAACTCATTTCATTCCAACTGAACCTAACCTGACTTGACTCACCTTACTATAACTGTATTACAGTACAGTAATATCCCCATTAGCTGGAACAATTGGTGCAGCGTTTCCAGATTTGAGAGATTTCCGGGTATTGAGACGAATTCTCTTATCCCCAGAAAAAAAAATGGCGTATATACAGAACTCTTCTGGCCACTGGTGAATGTTTCTGCATCTACAGTATACTATGCATCTAGCATGGTGCACCATTGTTACGGAGGCTTAACTGCAGTCAGACAAATACAGAGTGGTATTTATGCAAATATTACTGTATACATACAGTACAAAATATACTACTGTATCCACAATACTGTACTCACAAGCAGATGCTGTCATCATGGGCTTGTGATGCAAGCAGGCTAAATGGTGATATGATGATACAGGATGGCCAGCCTTTGTCCTGTACTGTCTACTGTAGCAGATGTTGCTAACTGGCACTCTCCTCTCCCTTACATGAAGGAGGGATTGTACACGCACTGTATACTGTAAATACACTTCTACACGCACTAGCCTACAGTAGGCATACACTGTCCACTCTGCTATGTGCAATATTTACACACTGGAATATACTGTGCATTATATGTAACTGTAATCACTTTTTGCATCTTAGTACTGCTTTAATGGTATTCTTGGTTGGTTCTATGCTGGTACAGTATAGTATTGTACAGTCCTGCACAACACAGATCATATGCAAAAATGGCAATGAGCCAGTGAACAAGCTTGTACAATGGCAGCAGACAATGAACTAAGCATGTCATAATGCAAGAGTTTGAGGAGATATGCTGTGAGATACATCAGCCAATCATAGGCATCCCATGCAGTCACATGGCAGTAGTAGCCAATTATAGTGAACGAGCTCTCTGAGCCTACCCACCCACGCGCTTAGCACATGTCGGCGCGTGATGCAATCTTTTGGAAATTTTTTTGAATCGCCAGAACGAATATATTTATCCCGGAATTTCTCGGAATGCTAAAATTTAATTTTTCGGATAATGGAAAGTTCAAGAATGGAAAATTTTGGCTAATGGGGATATTTCTGTAATTCTTGCCTAACTTGATCTATTATAAACTATCTCAACTTCAACTTAATTACTCAAGTCCCTCCCAAACCTAATCCAAACTATCTCATCCCAGCCTATTCTAACCAACCCATCCCAACCACATTGGGCTTTGTTTCACATTTAGTATCAGATGTTGGTATTGGTGTCAATCTGGGTATCTATCAGTTATCTTCTCTCCTCTCCTGTGTGAAGTAAATCATTGTGTACAGGATCTTAAAAGAAAAGGTGGGAAGTAATGAGTGATCCAAGGTAACTGAATTCTTCCTATAAATTTCAATAAATACTTAAACTGTGTCTTTAGATTAACCCTTTCACTACGGGTACGCCACTTTTAATTTCATTTGGCTAATGCCAGACGAGTTTGTTAAAATCAGAGGCGACCCTGGACACAAGGGGTTAAAGAAATACACTGATTTTGCTTTATTTACCTCCCTATACTGTTTAGTGTACTTTTTAGGGATTGACCACTTATTTTGTGTTGCAGGGAAACTCTCATTCCTAGAGGACAGCTCAGAGAGTGAAGACATGATAGGAGAATACCTGGCAGTTACGCAGCCAATTTTTGGTGGGTCAGCTAAAGGTTAAAAAATACACTGATTTTACATTATTTACCTTCGTACTGTTTAGTGTACCTCTTAAGTGTTAACCGCTTATTTTGTGTTGCAGGCAAATACTCATACCTAGACCTAGAGGACAGCTCAGAGAGTGAAGACATGATAGGAGAATACCTGGCAGACATGCAGCCTTGTTTTGGTGGGTCAGCTAACAACACCATCACGCCCATTGAACTTGCTATGTCTAAGTAAGTGCAAATTTGTATAATGTCATTTAGTATTGAATAATTAACTAAGATGAACTATTATTAGGTATCAATATGAATTATACTTATGTAAAATTTTTGCTGTTTTAATTTTACAGCCTCATACCAGGCTCAGGTTTCTCTTGTATAGTTAACATTTCATTGGTTTAAAAAGCCAAGGGCCTGTACTATTACTCCATGGCACAATTGCTCAGCCTGACTTAGTATAGTTATATTTCAGATATAGAATATGGCCTATTGGTTAACAGCTTTAGTCTAGTGTTGTCTGGTTTGGAATTTCAGAAGAAGAGTTCCATGGGAGATGATTATTTGGCAACATATTGGTTATCTCACCTTAGGATCACTCAAACCTACATGTATAATTAATTGTTGGGGATTACTTTGTCCTCCAATTGTTTAAATTTGGATGTATTTGTACCCTGAGAGGTAATTGAAAGCTGGTGTACATGGGGTTGTGTTTTTAAATGGAAGCAGTGTCTTTATTTCACTCTGGATTTTATTTAAAAATCTTTTATCCTTGGTTATGCATTTGCATTTGAATTAATTGTTGCCCTTGTAACATAAGTTATTTGTTTGTTGTCTTTCAGTATGACCTACTGTATAATAGGAGATGTGTATTACTTCTTTCACCTGGGAATATGATAAAAATAAATAGTTTGGATTTAGTTCATGGAATACAACAAGGATAATTATTTCAGAGAAGTCAACACGATAAGGAATGCATAAATACCTGTTGAGAGTTAGTGGTCTACCTGCATGATATCCATGATAAATCTCTGTGTCATGGGGTTCTAAGCTTGAACTGCTTTTTATCTGATGAGTATGTTGATTGCATTGTGATGTTGGCATTATATGGAGCATAATCCACCTCGCCCCTGCAGATATTTTTATGAAAAAGGTTAGCTTGTTACATTATGGTTGTGAGTGAACTGACTGTGATAAACTGCAGGATGAATTAGATTTGTTAATACAGGGCAAGGAACGACTATCAAGCATTCTGGGTTTTGCATCATTTTTATTAGGTCAGAGTAATGACCCTGTAGATGTACTGGGGTCAGGGAGAATGCACTCGATTAGCAAAACTAAAAAACAAATCTGCATTGCTTTCTGATGCAATTGCAGTTCTTGTCTTGAGCAGATACTGTATGGGGATGAAGTACCATCCTGTTGCCCCAGACCCCGTAACTCTGTGGTTTTCTGCCATTGATGATGAAAGTATGTCAACATACAGTTAGAGTTGGTGTCATGGGTTGGGCCAGGCCTGCTCAGGGCCTGCCTCGGGCAACCCTACTCCAATGTTTGTTTTACAGGAGATAAGAGATCAGTCGAGCCATGACTCCATCACTATTTCATTAGTGAGTATGTGAGCCAGGCTAGGGAGGGGGGGGCGAGTAGGATAGTGTTGTATTGTCTCATGCTGCCAAAACCACATTTTAGTCGGGAGGTCCCACACCATGGGTTAAGACCTAGCTGCTCCCGCTCTTGTGATGAACGGAGTGCTACACAGAGTCTTGTCGCGACACCGTCCTGGGGACTGTCAGTGACACGAGACTGTGTGTGCCAACCTAGGTTTTATTATTCCCGTGAAAAGAAGATCTGTGAAGGCCTGGCTGCAACAAGAGAGGTTCAGGCTGGCCTAGTGAACCTAAGTGGTTATATTCCCCAGTAAAATGAATTGTATTACTTGAGGAATTAAGGCTCTGTTAAGCCAAACCATAGTTGTGTTACTAAATGTGCAGTCCCATGGTTGAAAACTCCCTCTTTACAAAATTACTTTTATTATGGCGTGAATGTGAGTGACTCTCATATCCATGCAAATTGTTAATCAGTGTATGAAACCTTGCCAAATTTATGTAAGTGCAATTATATGCCCGTATCTGTGATCCCTATCTTATTACAAAAGTTAATGACTGATTGGTTATGACAACTTATGACCATAACTTAGATGGATGTTGGAAATGAATGGAATTCATCAAATCATCATTTATCAGGTATGAATTACATGGAATGTCGGGTGGTGGAGTGAATTTCTGTGTGATACACCATAATCTCCTGGGTAAGTAACCAGTGTGAAGGTAGCTGAACTCTGCGGTAAGAAAATAAGAAACACGTATATCTTCCTCGCATAAATTCGTGACAGTTGGATACATTTGGACTGCACTGGCAGTTTTTTTATGAATGGGGCCTGGAGCGAATGCTACCTGGGCCAGCTTATGGATGACTTGACACGGGAGACTAATGGTTCATGGTATAAAGAATTGCAGGTACAGTATATGGAAGACCTCAAGGGATATATCCACTAATATCATCTGAAGACCAGCATTTCTGAAACTTACTGTAGTTTGGATGATTGGCTATATGAGGGTGGTGGCCAGTCATGGAACATAGGCAGGGAGAAAAATAGTCATGGAATACAGTATAGGCAGTGTGGGGAGAAAGGTAGTGGGCCAATGTGGAACAGTATAGGCAGGGAGAGTATGGAATACAATATAAACAGGAGGTACAGTTATGGAATACAGTAGGTAGGGAGAAAATAATGCAATAGGCAGTGAGGTATTGTAATGTGGAATTACAGTATAGGCAGTGTATAATGGCTGAAATGAATACAATATAAGAAAGTGTGAGAAAATAGTTATGGAACACAGTATATATAAGGGAGGAAAATAACAAGGAATATAGTAGGCAGGGAGAAAAATAAACATGGAATAATAACATAAGAAAGGGGAGAGGCTAATATGGAACATAGAAAGGTGGAGAAAATAAATGTGAATATAGGTGGAGAAAATGGAATACAGCATAGGTAGTGTGGAGAAAGGGCTAAATGCACAGTATTACAGGTGGAGAAAATAAACAAGTGGAATACAACAGGAGGCAGTGGAGAAAGTGGCCATAGCTCAGTATAGCAGTGGAGAAAAATAGTCATGTAACACAATATAGGTAGTGTGGAGGTGGTCATGGAACGGTAGGCAGTGTGGAGAAAAATAGTCATGGAACACAGTAGTGTGTGGAGAAAATAAATGCCAATTATAGGCAGGTGGAGCAGTGGTCATCATGGACACAGAGGTAGGAGGCTATCGTGGAATACAGTATAGGCAGGGAGAAAGGGCTAGTCATGGAATACAGAGTAGCAGTGTGAGAAAAGCAACAAGGGAATACAGAGAAGGGGAGAGGCCAGTCATGGAATACAGGCAGTGTGGAGAAAATAAACATGAAGGCATGTAGGCAGTGTGAAAAATAGTCAAGAACAGTGTAGTGGGGTGTAGTGGCTAACAGTGGAATACAGCAGGTAGGCAGGTGGAGAAAAATAGTCATGGAATATAGGCAGTGTGGCAGTGGCCGTCCTGGAACAGTATAGGTAGGGAGAGAAGGTCATGGAATGCAGAGAGGCAGTGTGTGGGAGAAAGGCCAAGGAACACAGTGGTGGTGGGAGGAAAGATGTCAGGAATACACTGAGAAAAGTGGGTGTGGGGTAGTGGCCAGTCAGGGGTGGAATATAGGCAGGAGAAAATGTCCTAAATACAGAGAGGAGGAAAATAAATGTGAACACAGAGTAGGCAGTGGGGGTAGTGGCCAGTCATGGAATACAGTATAGGGATAGGGCTAAATATGGAATACAGATAGGCAGTGTGTGGGGTAGTAATATCATGAATAGGCAGTGGATAAAAATAAATATGGAATACAGCATAGGCAGGTAGTGGCCATGGAATGGCAGTATAGGCAGTGGTAGTATGGAACACAGTATAGGCAGGAGAGGCCAGTCATGGAATACAGTATAGGCAGTGGAGAAAAATAGAACAGAATACAGAGTAGGCAGTGTGGAGTAGTAATAAATGAACACAGTATATGGTGTGGCGAGGGCTAAATAAGTGGAATACAGTATAGGCAGTGTGGAGAAAGTGGCCAGCCCATGGAATACAGTATATGCAGTGTGTGGGGAAAATAAATATGGAATGCTGGTATAGGCAGCTTGAGGAAAAAGCAGTCATGGAATACAGATATAGTGGAGAAAATATCGCGGAACACAAGAAGCAGGCAGTGTGAGAAAAGCTAATATGGAATACAGAATAGGCAGGAGAGGGGCCAGTCATGGAACACAGACATGCAGGCAGTGGCCAACCATGGAATGCAGTGTGAGTAGGCCAGCCTGCGAACAAGGTATATGCAGGGGTAGTGGCCATGAATACAGTAGTGTGGAGGTGGCCAGTCATGAATACAGTATAGGTGTGTGGAGAAAGGACAAATGCGGAATATGCAGGTGGGGAGAAAAGGTGGGCTAATGTGGAATACAGAGTAGGTAGGAGTAGTGGCTAGTCATAACATGGTATAGGCAGTGTGGGGAATAGTCATGAACAGTATAGGCAGGTGGAGAAAAGCCAAATGAAGGGAAATGCAGGCAGGCGTGGGTGGAGAGTGGCCAGTCAGTGAATACAGGTGGGAGGTATTAATGCGAACAGTATAGGCAGTGTGTATGAGGCCAGTCATGGAATAAGGTATAGTAGTGTGGAGAAAATAGTCATGAATACAGTATGCAGGCAGGTGGCAGGCCATCGTGAAATACAGGCGCGTGAGTAGTGGCTATCGCGGAATAAGACAGGCAGTGTGTAGAAAAATAAATGCGGAACGCTGGTATAGGGAGAAAAATAAATGGCGAATACAGTATAGGCAGTGTGGCGGTGGCTGGAATACAGGCAGGCAGGTGGAGTATGTACAGTCATGGAACAGGCAGGCAGTGTGAGGAAAACAGTCATGGGAATGGCAGACAGGCAGGTGGAGGTACAACAAGGAATACAGTATAGGCAGGTGAGGGCTAAATGCGGAATATGAGAAAGTGCAGGAGAGGGCTACTGCGGAATAAAGGTGGAGAAGTGGCCAATGCGGAATACAGCAGGTGATAGGCTATCGCGGAATACAGTATATGGTAGAAAAATAAATATGAACAGGTATATGCAGTGTGGAGAAAATAATGCATCACAGTATAGGCAGGGAGTAGGGACAGTCATGGAATACAGTATATGGAGGTGGAGAAAGGGCCAGTCAGTGGAATACAGTATAGTGTGTACATGAACAGTATAGGCAGGGAGGGAAAATAGCCATGCATGCAGTATAGGCAGGTGTGGAGAAACAGGAAACAAAGAGTAGGCAGTGTGGTGAAAAGGTCGGTTGAATACATGGTGTGAGTAAAATAAATGGCAACAGATATGCAGGAGGCACAATGGAATACAGTAGGCAGGTAGTGGCTAAATATGGAAACACGTAGCAGGGAGAGAAATAAATGGGTGAATACAGTATAGGCAGTGTGGAGAAAATAAACATGGAATACAGTATAGGTGTGGAGGCAGGACAACAAGGAACAGGTATAGGTAGTGTGTGGAGAAAGGGCCAAATGGAATACAGAGAGAGGCGAAAGTGAGAAAATAAAACAGGTACTGCTGGTGATGCAGGCAGTGTGGAGGAAAATAAAATGGAATACAGTATAGTAGTGTGTGGGAGAAACAAGTGAACAGGAAAGAAGATGCAGGGAGGCATAAGTGGAATACAGTAGATGGTGTGGGATAGGGCCAGCAACAGGGTGTGGAGGAGTGTACAGTCATGAATACAGAAAGAGTGGGAGAAAGCCATTGCGAACAGAATAGTGGAGGAAGGTGCGGAATGCAGTATATAAAGTGGAGAGTGCGAACAGTGACATGGTGCGTGGAGAAAATAATGGAAATGCGGCGTGAAAGTGAGGAAAAATAAATGCGGAATACAGTGCAGGTAGTGGAGAGGGCTAAACATGGAATAACGGCAGGCGCAGGGAGAAAGGGCTAAACAGGAACAAGGAAAGACAGGCGGTGGAGGAAAATAATGCGGAATACAGTATAGCAGTGGCGAGGCCAACAAGGAATACAGTGGCAGGCAGGAGTAGTGGCTAACAGACACACGGCGCGCAGGGAGAAAAATAAATATGAACATGGTATAAGAGAGGGAGGAAATAAAACAAGTGGAATACAGTATAGGCAAAGTGGAGAGTGGCTAAATAAGGAACAAGAGAGTAGGTGGGAGAAAGGGAAATAAATGTGGAATACAGACAGGCAGTGTGGAGAGGGCCAGTCATGGAATACAGCAGGGGTATCTGTGGAGGCAGTGCCAAACAAGTGGAATACAGAGAGGTGGAGTAGTGGCTAGTCCTGAATACAGTGGAGAGGCAGTGTGGAGAGGGCTAAATGGAATACAGACAGGTGTGTGGAGGAGGCCATGAACAGTATAGGCAGTGTGGAGAGGGCCAGCCGCGGAACAGTGACAGGTGGCGTGGGGTAGCCAATGTGAATATACAGGCAGGAGGGTAATAAATATGAATGGTAGCAGTGTGGAGAAAGTAATAAATAAGGAATATGGTATAGGTAGTGTGGGGAAAATAAATAGTGAATACAGTATAGGCAGTGGGGTAGTGTGTACATGGAATACACACATAGGCAGTGGGTAGTGGTCTGTCATGGAATATAGGTGTGTAGTGGCTATCATGGAATAGGGGTGGCCATGAATACAGTATAGGTGAGAGGTGGAGAAAATAAATAAGGAATACAGAGTAGGCAGTGTGGAGAAAATAGTCATGGAATACAGAGTAGGCATCAGGAGAGGGCTAAATATGAATACAGAGCAGGCAGTGGAGAGTGGCCAAATAAGGAACACAGATGAGGCAGGAGGCACAAATGTAAATGGCAGTAGGCAGTGTGGAGAGTACAGTCATGGAACATGGCATGTATGGTGTGTGTGGGAAAAATAGTCATGGAATACAGTATTAAGGCAGGGGAGAGGCTAGTCATGGAATACAGTATAGGCAGGGAGAAAGGGCTAAATGTGGAATACAGTATGGTAAAGGGTGTGTAGTACAATATGGAATGGCTACAGCATAGGCAGGTGGGGTAGGCTAATGCGAACAGAGAAAGGAGGGAGAGTACAACATGGAATGGCAGCATAGGCAGGTGGAGAGTGGCTTAAAACAAGTGGAATACAGTATAGGCAGTGTGGGGGTAGTGCACAACAAGTGAATACAGAGAAGAGTGTGGGGGTATAACAACAAGAATACAATATAGGCAGTGTGGGGTAGTGGCCAGGTATGGATGATGAATTGTTGTGGTAGTTGCCTGTGGTAGGCATTGGCAGGAGATAGATTGGGAAGATAGGGATAGATAGGGGCAGTGGGCCAGGCAGGAGGTTGGCAGTGTGGGATGGAGGGTAGTGTATGAGGTGTCTAATGATGGATTGTGGACAGAGTAGAAGGTGAGCTGTGAGGTGTGGTGGGTAGGGCTTTTATAGGCACCTTCAGATGAAAGTGGGGTTGCACATTCCTTCTATGTCTGCTGATGCAATAAGCAGTATTTTACCACAAAAAGTAAAAACACAATCAATGCTTACCATTGTTATATGGAAGCTGGTCAGGAGCTATTACCCACATTCTAGGATTCATATATACGGGTGGAATAGGTACAATCAGCTTGGAAGTGATGTCACTGTTTTCAGCGGTAACTGGCAACTCAATGGGAGCCGAGTGAATGACTGACCAGGGGGCTGAATGCCGTTGTATTAACACACTCCTGAGCCGAATTTCTTGCTGCCTAACCTTTTTCTGGCATTTTTTCATATTTTTGCAGGTAAAAGGTTGAAAGACTGGTAGTAAAAGTAAAATAGCTTATCTCATGCTTCAAAGTCAAAGAAGGTGCATGCAGAAAAAGGGGGCAGCCAGCTTGAGATGCCACAGCCACACAAGCTGATAGCACTTACTTCTAGCTGTAGAAAATTCTGCATATGGCTCATTTCCTTGTTTATTAGTTGTTTTATTTTTAGAACAATAGGAAAAGCATTAGTTGCTCTAAAATAATTGTTAATTGAATAAGTGTTCACAGAAGGTATCTGTTGCAATTTAGCCAAATTTGACCTTTTTTTTTTTCTAAGTAAAGAATGATAATAAACGGGAACCTTTAATGTCTTATATTTTAGTTTGGGGCTAAAAATACAATATCTTCAGAGCATAAATGGGAATTAATTTTTTATAAATACTCGGGAGAAACTGTAGCAATCAATGTGTTTTTAAGCTTATAGTCTATCTAAAGCTCAATGCTTTTTTAATGAATGCTTTTCCATCTTAATCGTCGGCCGTCAAGATGGTGATTACGGAAAATATTTGATTACATATTCAGTAAAGACTTGGCATAAACATGGTTAACATGAATATTTTTTCAATCCGTATTTTTATTCAGTAATTATTTCAGCTAGACACTATTAATGTAGTGTATACCAGTTAATTTTGATGTTTGGTCCTAATAACATAAGTTTTTCCGGAATGTCCTTGAGCAATAATATGGATGTCATTACAGTATTTAATTTAAAATTGTACTAAAATTTTATGGATTTTTTCTTATAATATTCTTATGAAACACTGCTTTAGCATTAATTAATTTAATTATGGTCCTATATCACGCAATTGCGTTCCACTTCGAAAAAATAAAAGTGAAAATAAAGCGAATCTTATAGTTGCCAGATACCACATTGTGATTTAAAGTTTCTGGAAATCGTGATATCAGTTATTTGGGTGACTGTATGTATGTTTACCAGCGGAGAGATTTCAAATCATTTGGTTTAATTTTAACAAAGGCTGAATTATTGTGTGTGGAATTTTGACCTTTGTAAAAAAAAAATAATTATCTAGTATTTAAATTGATGATGCTTTACGGTTTCCTTGTTGCAGCCTTCCTCCACCATACCCACCTCCTCCACTGCCCAATCAGTCATCATCTCGTGCTGGCAAAGACTCACGCATTGGTGACCTTGTTAGTGGCCCACTGAGCAGTGCACATCCTGGGATGGACCATTCCACAGCTGTTGATGCCAGACTAGAGGCTGGAGTGTCATTGTTGTCAGAACTGAGATTACACATGATGGGGGCAGTACACACTTCCAGGCTCAGCCTAGCAGTCACAGCCCCTCTGAAGGTATTATGCAAAAACTTAATTTCATTATAAAGTATTTTCCTGAAACTTAAATTTGTTTGACTATAAATTCTATTTTCATATTTCACTTGGATACATTCTTCACAATATCTGCCAGGCACCTCTGTGGCAGCATTTCATAATTTCCCCTAGCTGATTCATCCTTAGATATAAACTACCTCACCTCTTCTCAATGTAATGTAAATTAAACAGCATTGATAAGTACTGAAACCTTGTTGTAATATAGGTATAGATCCTAAATCTTGGTGTCTGTAGAAATTGATGAAATAACTTACCATCTTTCAAGAATTAAAGCAAGTTAAGTGGAGAATATATAACATGCAAATGCTGCCAAAGAAATGGACAAGCTATACAGTGAATATTTTGGTGGTATCAATTCTTTTGTTTTGTCTCGCCTACAGGTCAACAGTGGGATGTGGGCAGACACAGAGGTGTGTGGTCCTGGTGACCTTACAGGCAGTGTGGAGCTTCTCACAGATGTGTTCCAGAAAATTCTTCTACACCTTTCTATGGAGGTAGGAATATTTAGCAGCTAAATCTGTCTGTACTAGTATGTACATTAGTTCCTCATCCAATGTAAGTTTGTGCAATGTGAATCTGCCTTTATATGCAAAATTTTTTGTGACACATTTCTACCTAACACAAAGGCATATCCACCAATACGAAAGTTGTTGAGAGTTACCACGTGATCACCATTTTAAATTTGGTGCACACTAAGCTCTGTCTGGCCCTTCACCATTCGTGCCCACCATCCACTCATCCCTCCCCTCCCACAGAGCAATGACTTGGCTAGATTAAGTATAAGGACCTTGCTAAATTAAACACAATAAATTGGCTAAACCAGCTTAATAGTTTGGCTAATTTAGGCACAATTACCTGGCTAAAATAAGTGCAATAACAGAGCAAAATTCAGTGCAATATCAGGGTAAAACTCAGTGCAATAATCTGGCTAAATTAAGTACAGTAACCTGGTTGTACACATTTAATATCTGTGGTGTGATTTACTCTTCTTACATAACTAAGTTGTGTTCCAGGTTGGGATCCATGTCACTCCCTTCTTGGATCATTTGGAGTCAATTCCTTTGTTTGAAACTCAGCAGCTGTACCACATCGGTTTAAAAAAAAAAAAAAAATCCCATTAACCCTCTCGTGCACGCAATAAGTTTTTAAGTTAACATGACCACAACAAAAGTCATATGGGACCTCTCATGTGAGGTTTACCAAATCCCGTGTAAAATGATGGGAAAAATCCTAACGCTAAATTGAAAGTTGGCTATATCAGATACCGTTAAATTGAGAATACCTGTACTGTATACTGTACAGTAATTGTGTCGCAGAGTCTCCGACTCGCCACCTAGTATCACTCAGATCGAGTGAGGCTGAGCTGTGGTATTGTTCAATACAATTTTGGGTAGATATACATTTTTTTTTTACTTTGTTACATGCACACACAATCATTCATACTGAATGTGCAAAAAATAATAATTACCATAAGGTCAAAAACATAAAGAGAATAAACATTTCTTAATGCCAGCTGTGAACTAGGTTATGTTTTTTTAAACACAATTTATGATAAATGTACATATTTTATTTATTTATTTATTTATTCTTACTGTTACATGCACACAATCATTCATACAGAATGTGAAAAAAATTATAAAGTCAAAAACATAAAGGGAATTAATATTTGTTACATGCACTGGAGTTAGTTCTCAGAGCGGGAGGGAAAGAAGGGTGGGAGCGGCGTGGGGGATCTCACAGCAGTTTTCTGTCTTGTGTCTCGTGAAATGATTGCCAAATGGCAACTCGGTATTTTTTCTTCTTTTTTTTATTATTATTATTATTATTATTATTATTATTATTATTATTATTATTATTATTATTATTATTATTATTATTATTATTATTATTATTACTTCCTAACATTTTTGTGACTGAAAAGTGAGCTGTGTAACTTTGAAAATGTCCAGCAAGCTGTTGCTCAGGCTCCTGCTTCTGGGAAGGCCAAGGCGCCCAGGTAAATAGTCTTAGCTGGAGTTGTTCTTAATGATGGGGTGAGCCTTTTTTACACGTGTGTTGGACTGAATGGGAATATGTCCCTCAATGGAATATGTTACCAGCCGCCATGTTATAATGAACTCGATTTGCGATGGGCTATTCAGGAACATAACCCCATCATAAATTGAGGTTTGCCTGTACTATATCTATCTGAAATTATGAGTTGAACAATAACATAACTCACAGTTCAACCTCACCCGCTCTGAATGCTACTGGGTGGCGACTCTGCTACACAATTATATGCCATCTCCATGTATATTATTCCTCATTATTCCTTGTTTAGCAATCATTTAACTTAACATTGGGTTTTTCAGGAATGCATCCTGATCAATAATGAGGGATACCTGTGCTTGGTCCTTAATCTACCTTATGGTGTGACTCTCCTGTGTTTTATGTTCCCATTTACTGTTTTAATGTTTCTTTAGTTCCCATATGTAATATTTTTCCAGTCTTTATAAAAAAAAAATGGTTACATTATTTTGTGAAGCAAAGTTCTGAACTTGTCTTTCCCCACTCTAAACTTCTAATTATTTTCATAGTCAACCAAATATGAATCTACTCAATACAGAACTGTACTGTACAGTACAAGGCTTTCCAGAAAATTATCCTTTGGCATTGGATAAAGGACTACTGTTGTTAATGATAGTAGGTTTATGCTGAAATACAGTTCACCATTTAAGCCACTTAATTAGTATACACCTTTTTATTTAAAAAAAATCAATACTATTTAACATATTAAGCATAATATTTATTTATTTATTTATTATTTTATTTTAGATTTATTTTTTATTTATTTTTTTATTTGCTCTTACAGTTTGATGGTAGTCATGTTGAGTCAGTCCTAGGATTGTGGCTCAGTATTAACCTAGAGTTGGCTGGTGGAAAGTACACCCCATCTATTGCCCCCACTGTACCTCTCACTCCCCGGGCCATTTCTGCTCTCCTGGCGGCAGTTGTCAGGTAAGTAGATCAACAGTTGCAATACTGTTTTGGACACCTGTATAATACTGTTCTGGGTTTTTCTATGGACACAACCCTTACATCAGCCAGGGTTGATTTGTTAATCCATTTGGATGTTCTGTATATACCTATCACCCTTTTCTCCTCATTACATCATAATAATAACCATAATAATAGTAATGATAATACTTATTCATTAAAATCATCAAACAAGTTTACAATAAATTTACATGTACATTATATAGACAATGCAGGTGTACTGTGTACATAGATTGTGCAGGTATACAATTTCCAATGTACCTAGACATAACAGGTATGCAACAATAAAAAACAGTAAGGCAATTTGACCAAGGATAGTTGACAAAGCTAACAGATGCTTATTATCAGTATGGTAACTTGTTGCAATGACTGACTTAAAGGCTAGGAAGTCTTACTGGGGTAGAGTCTGCCATATCAGCACCATACATCGCAAGACATATTGTACATCATCTTCCATTAAGGTCAATTTACCATTTCAAATTCAGTTCTTGGCTGGCAGTCCAAAAGAAAAGTTGCAGCAGATTGGTTTTCCCTTACTCTGTTAATATTCTACAAAATCTAAATGTCTTCCCCTTAGATGCTTCAATGATAAGCTAGTGAGAGCTAATTTAGTTGTATATAGACAAATTACTGTACAGTTTAGTTTATGTGCAGGGGGACAAATTCACATACGCCCGGTCGCCCGAGGCGACGAAAATATCATAAGGGCGACAAGATTTTACTCTTTTGCTGGTCTAGGATCGCCCGATGGGCGAGTGGGCCGATGACAGTGGTAAGACACACTCAATGTGTATAAGAGCTTCATATAGAGAATACACTATTAATGCTAGGTAAACTTTGCTGCTGTAAAAAATATTGAGAGAGGTGATGCTGCATATATCAAGAAATGTGTTTGCTCTACGATGAATTCATGCTATGGCGAAACTTGGAAGCAGAAGCTAGTTGGCATTGGTACAGATGGGGCCAGCGTTATGACTGGGTGCAGAAATGGTTTAGTAGCTCGATTGAGAAGAGATCTAGAGAAACTGGAGTTGGAATTCATCCGTTCCACTGCACATAAAATTGAACTCGCTTACATGGATGCAGTAAAGGATGTTCCACTCGCCAAAAAGGTTGACTTACTGCTGCTAGGCATATACCTGTTTTATGAAAAGAGTTCTCTCAACAGGAGCATGTTGAAGCTTGCTCATGACATATGTCAGGTACCATTGCTGGTTCCAACACGTGTGGGTGGTACAAGGTGGCTCCTGCATATGGTGCAGGCATTTGAGCATCTACTGAAGAGATACAAGGCTATTGTACTCCACATACAGCAGATACAGAACCCTGATGATCCTGTGTACCAAAAGGATTCATCCATTAAAGTTAAGAACTACCTTCTCCTTCAAACCAGTGCTGACATAGTCTAGTACCTTCACCTCCTACTGGATGTGGTGTGGTGCCTTAGGGCGCCTCTCAGAGCTGTTCCAGCATGGTCAAACCAATATTTATGCTATCGTGAATGAAATTCAGACTGCAGTTGATGTACTTAACAAATAGTTGACTTGGCCAAGACCCAGCCTGAGAAGGATTATGGAAGGTGACATTACCATGTTCCAAGGAGAAAAGCTGAGTGGTAGAAGCAACACTTTCAAGACTGCAAGGCGTGATATGTTGACATCACTGATTTCAAGTCTAAACAAAAGATTTATTGACATGGCCAGTATGATTCTCCAGAATGCATGGATTCTGAATTTCAAATTGTGGCCTGCAGAGTACAGTGGGAATGAAGATTTCGTGGATAGTGCTGTGCAAGCGTTGGCCCAAGCTCTTGAGAAAACACTGATGGAGGCAGAGGTGAATCCTACTTTGGTAGAGGATAAATGGACTGTGCTCAAAAGTTACATTTACAAGAGTAAGACATCACTTGTTTCAAGACTGTCTTGGCAACAAATCAACCAATCATACGGAGAAAGGTGTGCCTCATTTCTCCATCTGGTTGACCTACTGCTTTCCATTCCAGCTAGTTCGGCCGATGCTGAACGTGGTTTTAGTCAGGTCAAACCCATTAAGACAGACTGGCGCAGTCGTCTCACTGATGACCACCTGACGGATCTCATGGTGGTTCAGTTGCAAACAGAGAGTGTAGGCAACTTCAATCCAGACAAAGCCATTGCCAGATTCCTAACAACTGGGGCCCGCCGTGTGGATGGCTACACTCACACTGCTGGCTGCAGCACAGTGGAAGATCTGGACGACAACAATGAGTTGAATGAGGAGCATGTACAGGAAATGCTTGTTCAAATGCAGTGAAAACATCTGTGTTCCATTCAATTAATTTAGTTATTCCAGTGTTGGTTTATGATTTCTAGTACTAAATAAATGTCACACAGTAAATACATGCTTCATGTTAATAATTTAGTTAATATGTGATTATTCCAGTACTGTATTGGTTTATGATTTAACATGGTTTTTACGAGTAAATAAATGTCACACAGTAAATAGAACTTTGTATAAACCCGGTAAGTGCCAATGTTTAATGTTTCTTGACAAATTGTTTAAGGGCTAGAAAAAATTTATAAGGACTAGTAAATTTTCAAATCTACTAGTCCTGCTGGCGACTATGAAAAAATGGTGAATTTCTACCCCTGATGTGTATATCGTGCTGGGAGGTTTGCTGGTAAGTTTGTAGCTCTTCCGTAGCTATCTGGGTTAGTTGTCCTCTATTTTCCTCTGCTACAGTATTGTTCTGTTGTGACAGAGTAAATGGGTTTAAGGAAACTTAATCTTGTTCACTGTTATTCATTTTCTTTGACAACTTCATCTATAGGTGAAATGGCTCCTCAAGTCTTACATGACTAGACAGTATATTTGTATTAATCCCATTTCTTGTTTAAAAGTGTTTGCCTTATTATTTGAGAACTTTCCTATTAGACAAAGAAAACAGGTGGAAGGGAGAAAACAGCTTTGTGATGTGTGTGATCCATTTTCCCAATCCTGCTCAGTCATGATAAGAGATTTATTCCACTCTTCCATCATTTCTTGTGCAGTTGCTTAACCCTTAACCGGCAGCTAACAATTCCTTTCTCCACCTCCATATACACAAAATTAAAGTGCAAGAAACATGAAACTTTCACTGATCATGGCTGCTATCCCTACAGCGAGCTTTCACTGATGATGGCTACCATTAAGGGTTTACCCTTTCACTACAATTGGTGGGAAGATTGTTGAACCCTCATCCGTCAGAAGAGCCATCTACCCCCCCCCCCATGTGTATAAAAAAATAATGAAAATAGTTTAACCCACAAAAGTACTCTCTGACACTGTAACCACAAATAGTTTGTTATGATGCTGAAATTAAGGTTAATTGATGTAAGGCAGAAATTAAGACAAAATTAAAAAAAAAAAAAATATAGTTGAAAGCATATACAGTAAGAGCACAAAATCAAACAATAACTACAGTTAACCCTCACTTTACGTGGTTAATGTAACCCGGAGGGTACCGCGGAAAGCGAGAAACGCGTAAAGTGAATAACATAACATATGGGATTAATTGAAATGGAGTCCAGGCCGATCCCCAAACTCCACTTTTTGACGACACACAACTATGTTGTAGTAAAAATAACATCTTAATTTTATGATGGTACATGCACACAATTAATACTTAAGAGAAATAGAGAAATACAGTCGCCAAGTTAATGTCCATTCAAATAATGGACACGACTCCCTCCCCCTCTTCTCACACTACACTGCTGGCTCTTCCCGCTGAGAAATTTTGGGGGGTAAACCAGGTATAGTAATAAATAATACCTCAAACTAAAGTTAGGATAATATAATTGACATTGCTGGATTCCTTGTAAGACCAGGAATATTTTGAATATAAATGTCATATATTTTGCACAAAAGATAACATACTTACTCAGATTAAACATTTTATCTACAAATTTTATGTCTAATGCAAAATATATGATGTTTATATTCAAAATGATCATCAAATTGTAAGAATTCCAGCAATGTAAATTATATTCTGGCCGGGTAATTTGTATGAATTTTATGAGCTAAAACAAATATCTTCAGTTAATAAAAAAAAAATATTTTTCAGGACACTATCTGTCAATCAAAGTACCCCACCTTGCCTCCCCCCCTCTTCCAACTGCGCGGTCAGTCCCAACCCTCCCCCCCACCACTCCTCCCTTCAAGAGATGTTGGGTGAAAAATTTAGATTTTAACATTTTGTATTAAATAATACCTCAGATTAAAGTTAGGATAATATAATTGACATTGCTGGATTCCTTGTAAGACCAGGAATATTTTGAATATAAACGTCATATATTTTGCACAAAAGATAACATACTTACTCAGAGTGAACATTTTATCTAAAAATTTTATGTCTAATGCAAAATATATGATGTTTATATTCAAAATGATCATCAAATTGTAAGAATTCCAGCAATGTAAATTATATTCTGGCCGGGTAATTTGTATGAATTTTATGAGCTAAAATAAAAATCTTCAGTTAATAAAAAAAAAAATATTCTTCACATGGTAACAGATGGTCGGTCGCCGGTCCCTCCCTCCCTCCCCCCCACCCCCACCAACGTCCCTACTAGATAAATGTGTGGGAATACCAGACTGTTTACCTTTTTAGTAATAAATAATAAATCAGACTAAAGTTAGGATAATATAATTGACATTGCTGGATTCCTTGTAAGACCAGGAATATTTTGAATATAAATATCATATATTTTGCACAAAAGATAACATATTTACTCAAGAGTAAACATTATATCTAAAATTTGTATGTCTAATGCAAAATCTATGATGTTTATATTCAAAATGATCATCAAATTGTAAGAATTCCAGCAATGTAAATTATATTCTGGCCGGATAATTTGTATGAATTTTATGGGCTAAATTAAAAAAAATTATACTTCACCCGTGTAAAGGGGTACACCCACAGCAGAATGTGAGCATCCTGGGTTCTGGCAGGGCACCGCGTAAACGTGGAAACGCGGAATGTGGGACCGTGTAAAGTGAGGGTTGACTGTACATGTAATCTTATTGGTGTGTGCATGCGTGAGGATTGTTGTTGATTGCGGCAACTACTATCCCCAGCATGCACGACCTCATTGAGTATAAATAAAGCCACAATGCTATACAAAGTGTAACTACTGTATGTGGTCTCCTCCATTATGCCAGTGTGGCTGGCCAGCCAGGTGCTGCATGAAACTTGAAAAAAAAAATAGGAAATGCAAAATAAAGGTGCCATGATTTTTATTGCACACACACACACACTGGGAATCACAGTAGACTATAAAATGAAGACATTGTTATAATTGTTGCTAAGTGATCAAAGGTGAAGTTCAGCATGTATGAGAGGTGACTTTTGGTTGTTTTGACCAGTAGAACTCCTCCTTATTTGGTTCGTAGGGAAGACGTGTCTTCATTATGCGAAGAATTGCGGATAAGAGCAAGTAGTCTCTTGCATGGTACTTAGATGTTTTAAAATTTATATTACAGAAGTGGGAGTGTGAGCATGCGGTGTTGGTGTCTTGTGCTGCAGACACTCACTTTGTGTTGTAATCACACACCCCAGGACCCACTACCTCCCACTACTGCTGACCAATATGATCACATTGATTTGGTGAGTCTCATCTTATAGTCCTGTTCTTGTAAGAAATTGTATTTTAAAAATTTTTGCCACTATCAACTAATTCATGTTTAATATTCAAAACTACAATTGAACTTTAGTTACCCAGCACCAAGAACTTGTGACTGCAATACAATTTTTTTTTTTATAAACTTAAATTCAGACTGACAGTCTTCATACTTGATTCAAATATAGAAAACACTGTACAAAAATATCCATTCAAAGAAGAAGTATGAGAGTATATTGCCAGCATAAACCCTGTAACCATAAACATTATATCCATTAACTATTTCACACACATCAGAGATTGAAAAGCTGCAACACATTACAACTTGTTGCAGAATGTTACTTTTGTTTACTATCCAAGAATATTTGCATTTGTGAATTACTCATATGTCAGATATATATATATATATATATATATATATATATATATATATATATATATATATATATATATATATATATATATATATATATATATATATATATATATATATATATATATATATATATATATATATATAATTTCTTAAAATGGTGAAGAGTGTCATTTTCTGTCTTTTTATTTTATTTATTTTTTATTTTATTTTTGTAATTATTTTTTTTTCAGAGTGGAATGGCGATGAACATTGTAACAGATATGAATTTTGTTCCAACATTGCAAAAGCTGTTAACTGGATCATGTGCTACAGGATCTGACATGAGAAGTGATGTCGTGAGTATTTTATTTATTTTCTCTCTTTCTTGAGCCTTTTCCTACAACAGTACATGTGGTGCAGGGTTGTTGACATTGAGAACAAACACATAGTCTTCCTTTATTTGCTGCTATTCTTACATTCCCAATGCTTTAACATGTGTGTTCTGCTGCAGTATTCCCTTCCACAACAGTGTTCATGATATATATTTAAAATGGAACAATTTTGAAGCCTTATAAATTTTAATTGAATAAAGCAAACAGGAATATTCACACGGATCATAGTCAGTATGCTTGAGGTTCATTTGGTTTATGGGTACATTAAGGTAGACATTCAACGTGTGCACCATAAGTAGCACAGATTAAGTCACAACGGTACCCAAATTTCCCTTCAAACATATTTTAACATCTCAGGGGTTGTGGAGCTCACCGCCACTGTGATGAGATATTAAATTATGTTTGAAGGGAAATTTGGGTACCGTTGTGACTTAATCTGTGCTACTTATGGTGCACACGTTGAATGTCTACCTTAATGTACCCATAAACCAAATGAACCTCAAGCATACTGACTATGATCTGTGTGAATATTCCTGTTTGCTCTATTCAATTAAAATTTATAAGGCTTCAAAGTCGTTTCATTTTAATGTGGACACCCTGTATTCCTGTCAATTCACACAACTACAATAGCATCATCTGTCCCCCATAATCCACTAACACCATGCTCTCCTGTTACCCATGCACAGTGCTACTTCTTACATGTCCATCACTTGTAGTGCACCATCTGCCCCATCCTTAATCCTTCCTTCATCTTCGCTTGCCTCCCCTTCTTAGTTTCCATTGATGAACAGATATAATTATCTCGAGTCTTGTGTATGATAATCTTGGCAGATTATTGAAATTACAGTATTATTTTTCTTGTATTAACATGCACAATTTCATTTTAGGTTGGCAGTACAGTAACTGGACTTTTAGAAGACTTGTTAGTTCGGCTGCGCGTGCGATGTGATGTCATCAGTGTGACCAGCGTGCCTGGAACCACTCTGAAATCTGCACTTCTTAGTCTAGTTTCACGCCTACTGGAACCTCAGGGAGCTATATCATTATCTATGGGGCCACTAGATGCCCAGTGCTGTCTGCTAGGAACTCTTTTGTCAATGCATTATGATGGAATGGATCGTATGCATGTACCATTAGCCATCATTAACTCAACTGGTGAGTACTACATGAATATTGTTGGTCTAATGTTTTGATTCGTGACTGAGTAACCTTTCCTGCTCAATTCTTATTGAAATTTCCTAATACAGTGGTCCCTTGGTTAACGAACGGTTCGGTTAACGAATTACCTTCCATCAGAATCTTCAATTCGGTTAACGAACAAAAATTCGATTAACGAAATCCTTACGAACATCACGTTTTGTTGTGAGCATCAGCTGATCAGGTGGTGGGCTAGTCTGCCAATTCAGTAATCTGTTCTATGTTTACATTTGTTTCTAGTGGAGTAAATATCAAGAAAAATTTGCTCTTTAATATTTGTGCATTTTTTATATTAAAATTATTGGTCATTCTAAAATTTAGCCATCCAAGCTCTGTCTACATAAAGTTTTTCAACTATTATTTTAGGCGCGATATATGTAACTTTATTCATTTATTGAAACTCATTTACATGAACACACTGTCCTAAGGGCAAAGCTGTACTTGTACATGTAATCAAAATAATGTACAAAATGATTACTAAAATTTTAGTCTAGTGCAAACTATAGCATGATAATATTCAAATTAATCACTCGTATAAGAATTCCAGCAATGTAAATTATATTCTCCCGGGTCACTTCTATGAAATTTTATAAACAAAAAACAAAAACTCAATCTAAAGGACATAAATAAACAAATAAATACTTCACTAGACCTTCGGTGCCAACTGCTAAACATGTCACTGTCACCTCCCCCTCCCCCCCCTCCCTCCCAGCCAGGGTTTGGTGGTTATACAGTAGGCTTTAAGTTTTTATCTTATATAATATCACAGACTAAAGTCAGGAGAATATAATTTGCATTGCTGGAATCCTTGCAAGACAGTGAATAATTTGAATATAAACATCATATTTTGCACAAGAGATAAAAATTTTAGTACATTAGTGTACAGTACTGTAGTACATTTTATAATATAAAGTTTTTCAACTGTATTTTTGGGTTGATTTACATAAATTTCTTCATTTATTTTCATTCCTTTACATGCACACACCATACTAATAGAAACATAAAAGAAATAAATGACTTAAGTGCAAACCTGTACTGTACATCCTTGCAAGACAGCGAATAATTTGAATATAAACGTCATATATTTTCCACGAGATAAAAATTAATCACTTGTATCACATTACAGTAGTGATTTAAGAGTAACAGTGTACAGTATATGTACGTATATATATAGTGATTTAAGGGCGATGTAGGGGAATTTTAGGAGTGTTTCTGACTATGCATTTTTGGCTTTTGTATGTACAGTACTTTTCTGTGATCTGGAACCAATTACCCAATTTCCCATTGAAATAATGGATTCGGTTAACGAACGGTTAAAGAACGACTCCGTAGAACGAATTGTGTTCGTTAACTGAGGGACCACTGTATAATACTGTGTGTAATATTGATATTGTGTAATGGTCAATTTATACATAAGACATTGTCACTTTACTGCCAATTTTCTCATGATAATGTTGAAACATGGAGCAGGAGAGCTTGCCAGTAAGACAAGTGTGCAGTGATACTTAGTTATGTTTATGCCATTCAGTTATATGTATTGGAATTGTTGTTGTTGCATGGACCTCAAGTACTCAAGTGTTCAGTAACAACATTTGTTTACTCCCAGAAATCATATATAGTAGCAACCTTGAAGGATTTTCTTTGGTGGTTGAATGTTGGGCATGTAAGGAATGGATGAGTTGCAGTGTGGACGGGATTTTGGGGGAGTTGTGTATCGTCTTGATACTTGTTTAAAGAAGGGCAGTGACCACAGCATAGTCTGGCGAGAAGTGCTCTCTTTTCTCTTTTGAGATTAGTTTCTATAATGTGGATAACTGATGGTGACAGTTTTCGTATGCTGTTTGGTTTGAGTTTCGTAGGGAGGAGGTTGCTAAGTTGTTGTGTATGTGTTTGTAGATGGTTGTGTAGGAAGTTGTAAGTGGGATATTGCTGAGTGTGTGTGGGAGTAGTGTTTTGCTGTGATTTATTTTTTGGTGTTAGTTGGAGTCCATCAAGGGACTCTTAAACCATATTCTGTTTATCATGGTGCTGGAGGCAATTTCTTGGACTAGGACTGGCCAACCCTGGGAGTTGTTGTATGCTGATGACTTGGAGAAATATAAGAAATGGAAAGATGAAATAAAGTCAAAGGGCCTGAGAGTGAATGTGGTGAAAAGAAAAGTATTGATTTGTTGTGTGGGTGAGGGATCTATGGTGGAAAGTGGACAATGGCCATGTGCGATCTGTAAGAAAGGTGTTGGCACTGGGTCAACTAAAAATGTGTAATGTGTAGAAATTGGGGACACAAGTGGTGCACCCAATGAGCCAGCCAGCTAACTCGTGTGCAAAGAAGTGTACAATCCCATTATGTGTTTGCCCTTGAGACAATATTTCTTTTACCTTTTTCACAATATGTACGTAGTATGGTGTGTGCATGTAACTGAGTAAAATTAAATGGAGAAAGTTATGTATATCTACCCAAAATTACAAGTTGAAAAACAACCATAACACCTCACGGCTTGGCTCAGTCGCCTGGAGATAACAGTGACGAGTTTAATTTGACTACAATGTTGCCAGCGATTTTAACAAATGCAGATGTGAAAAGAAAGTTATCTCTAAATCTTCATTTGTATCAAGTATTTGTAGATGTAAAAATAAATGTTGCAGGTATGGCATTAATAAATTGTAATGCTTGTAAGAGTTCAGAAATGGTTATTGCTTAGCTACCTCTGAAGAGTTTGGTGTCTGTCATATGGATGTTAATCATCTCAGGTTATCATCATCAGTACATGATCTGTAAATGAAGCTTTTATATTTATAATAATTATTTTTTAATTAATTTAAAATAAAAATAATGTGTTTAAGTAAGCTATAACATATTTTTAACTCTGGAGTTGGGTTAGGTAGAATTTAGCCTATTGGAAACAGCAACTGGGAATTGATTACCTTATGGGAGACTGCAACTTCACGAAAAGAATGCAGGCTGATTTTTTTTCCCCCTCCATTTTCAGACAAAAGTGTGTCTTATATGCTGTAAATTATGGTATTTCTTAAAGTATGTACTCTACATAATTTCACCCATTTCTTAAAACCCTCAAGTGCTCCTGTTAAAGACAATGGACACAGTACATAAAAAAGTTGACGTAAATGAGTGTAGTAGCGAGGTGTGGCGCACTGATGTGATAAGCATGAAGGCAAGAATGAGAGTGTCAGACTGAGAGATGTGCTGCGTGTACCCATGCACGGACGTTCAACAGCACCTATGAACTTACAAGTTGACTGGACTGATGCTAGATTTTTCAAACTTTTAAAAATATTATTGGTGAATAGAAGAGCAGTTTGGAGCAGCCTGAGAGAGAGTAAAAAAAAAAAAAACGATATCTAGTGAATAGAGGTTTTACTGCACAGTATTGTAATTCACAGGTGTCCATAACTTCCCTAGGTGACTATCTAACACTCGCCATGACTCCAGCTATTAATTCTTCTGTTAATTGACCATCCATTTGTTTTGCTGACTTTCTTGATTTTTTTTCCCTTCCATTGAGTGAACTTCAGTAACTTGAGATAGATGCATTATGATAAACTAATCTATATTAATCTTTCCTCTCAGTGATCTTGGTTCATGGGCATCTCATGTCTAGTGAGGGAGTGACTTATGGAGCTACAAACCACAATCCACACTCACTAGGAGGACTGTTTGCCTCTGTGTTGGGTTCAGGTGGTCAAGGGGCGGCACCGTCTCGCCTCGCTCTCCTCTGCTCCCTTCTGAACCTTTCTCGCAAGCTTTCCCAAACACCACTTGTCACTCCTGCCCAGGTGAGTTGCCTCATACATAGTAGATATGTATATTTTATTTTTTTGTCTTACTGGTGCAAAAAAAAAATGTAGATGTGGAGAGGTTAATGGAATACTTCATCCCTATGGGCAACAAAATTTAATTAATGTTATTTAAGCTTTCTGTATACAGTCCTTAATTTTTGTAGAGGGATGATTGTGATTTTAAGTTACGTCCACCTAACAGAATTGGTGCAAGTTTTCTTCACTGCCAGTGCTGTACTCATTCCATTTAACTATTCTTATTACAGTAAGGTCCTGTCGAATGAGAATTTGGGTTAATGTTCTTAGAGTTTTAGACAAGAGTTGTAAAGTAAATAAATAAATTTACTTTAGTAACATTTATGGGTATTTACTTTTCAGAAAGTACTCAAATTTTTTTTAGCACTTATACTTAAGTATGGTTTTCTAATACTTTTACTCCGTTACAATTGAAAAAAAAAAAAAAAATTTGTTACTCGTTACATGTCCCAAACAGAGAATTTTAATGTCTGTGGCAAACTAATAATATATTTTTAAAATAATTAATTATCCTAAGTAAAAGAGTTGTGTGGGTGGAGTGTATGGTGTGGGTGGAGGGTATGGTGTGGGTGGAGCTGTGAAGGGTACAGTGTGGGTCTGGGGAGACACCACACGGTCACATACATAGAGGTTTCGTGAGGTGAGGTGACTTCAGGTCAGGTTAGATCAGGTGGTAGTAGCCATGACAGTGGACTTTCCCTTTGATCTTCTTGTGTCTTTTAGCACCTTGACCATCCATCTCACTTAGCCAACCCTCTTATCCCCCCATCAAATCCCCTCTCTTCTTCCCCACCTTTCCTTCAGGGGCTTGGTTTTCCTGTTAGACGTCAGTTGCTCTGTACATATACACTTATTTTCTCAATTTAACGAACTAATTCGAGCCACCCCTTTTCGTTAAATTGAACTTTCCGTTATTTTTGCTTGATTTAGCGATCTAGGCGAACTAGTTCACTAATCGAGTATGAGTCCGTTAAATTTTCACTAAATCGAACTTTACGTTATTTTCGCTCAATTTAGCAAACCTTTTCACTAAATCGAGTGTGATTCCGTTAAATTCCGCGCCAAATGGGGTTTGTTTACATCAGCTCAGTCTGTGTCTTGCCACCACCGTATGTGTTGTTCACTGCTACCTCATGGTCAACTAACTACTGTGCTTGGTCATCATGCTGAAAGTCTCTCAGAAGTCTCAGAAAGGAAGTGGTGTGAGGGAGAAAGTCAAAAGGATGTAGCTATCAATTGGAAAAAGTTTGGAAATTATAGGAAAAAAAAATTTAAACAAACACCGAACCCCCTAGTTTAAGGTAAGCTATGAATAATGTTTCTAATGTTTCTATGTACATATATGTCTGAGGTGTCTCCGTAGGTGTGTGCGTTTTACCAGAATTAATCTTGATTTAGCAAACTAGTTCACTAAATCGAGCGAAAAATAATGGAAACAATTCCTGTACCTAAAATGAATTTCAAAGAGGTTGTGACTAAAATGTTTTACATAATCCCATCTTAGTTATAACGCCTGCATCTATACATATGTGTGAGATTGGGTGTATTAAAATTTCTGCTTAAATAGCCAAGTACCACTGCCCTCTCCCAGCACCCACCAGATGTTACGTGGTGCAAAAAATTCAGCCACTTATCGAAAAGTGATGTTACCACAGCCACACCCAAATTAGAGGGACAGTTCACGCACTATGGAGGGAACAGTCATCCACAAACCCCTCAACTGAAGACGCTTGATAGCTACTTGGCATGCCCAGGGGATGAAATGGAGCTACTGAGGTCTTTCCCCAAATTATGTGACTTATTTCTGAAGATTAACACCCCACTACCTGCATCAACTGCTTGTGGGCATCTGTATCGTCATAATGGGCTTATTATTATTATTTAAATAATTTATTACATCCCAGGGGGCGACAAGCCTAGTCACAAGACCATGCGGTCAAACACTAATACATTGGTACTGTACTTGTGTCTTGCAGGACATGTTATAACTTGCGATATGGAGACAATATTGATATGATTTAAGGGCAGTGGGAGTTAGCACTCACCAAAGCATAGGTAGTGTACAAGTATGAAATCAAAATTATTACAAATAAGTAGGTGGTGACATAGTGGTTAGTGACTCTCCCTGTGGTAGGAAGTCCCTGACAGTGGGACACTCGAGGCAATACAATAGTGTTGAAGGGTGTTAGTGTTGGGACAGTTACAGAGTTTACAGGAAGAGAAGTGTGGGTCATCCCCTGCCTCAGATGCATGCCAAACAGGTCTGTATCCTAACCTAATGCACGCAGAGATAACATTATGTCTGCGAACCAGAAGTCCATGTCGACGATACTTGTGTGGATAAGGAAGGTGACTATAATGTTGGATGGATATATTTTCAGCCCGCTCACTATCTCTGAGATGGATTGTAGGGAAAAGAGCAGCTGAACTTACCGGTATTCTCTTTTGGTAGGTCATGCTGGGCTTACATTTAGGCTTAAAAGATCCTGGTTGGACAGCCATAATTTTGAGAATCTGTTATTAATTGATCTCGATAAAAAGATTTGCAAATAAATGTGTCCTATATTTGTATCTTTAGTTAACTATTTTTTTATTAATTTATTGTGGATTTATTTTAATATTTGAGACAATTAATAATTTTTTTTTTACTTTTTTCTTTCAGTACTTAAGTACTTCATGAGTGAGATACTTTTTACTTCTACTAGAGAACATTGATCTTTGGATACTTTTACTTGAGTAACATTTTGCCAATGTAACAATGCTTTCACTTAAGTAAAAAAGTTCAGTACTTTTTACAACTCTGGTTTTAGAATATGAGAATCAATGAATGAACTTCTATTTACTTTAATGAGTAAAATGATAAGTGAACCAGCTCACATTTTCATTCATGGTGTGAGACTAGTAATGCTTTGTTATCGTTAAAGCCTCCAGCTGGGTTAGTACACTTGTAGACCTTTTTTCTATACACTGAGGTAAAGTCTGTGGCAAGCTGACACATCCTGGCTAGCCAATGAGCTTAGATAACAGGGTGACATTTGTTTATAATGTTCAATCAACAAATTCTAGGCCAATATGGCCAGCATTCATCTTCAGCACTAGTAAGTATAGTACACTATACTAAAACAATCCTTAGTCTTGTTAGGTTAAGTTTTAGGGTTAAAATTCTTTAGGCTGGAGCACATCTAAGTTTAAACCATGGTGTTTTGGTTAAAAAAAAAAGCTGTAATATATCTCAGATTTTAATATGGGATGGATGTTTTGGGAACAGGGGTCCTATTGAATGAGAATTCACCTAACAGTCAATTTTTCAGATACTCATATTGCTTGTTAAGCAGGACCTTACTATATTCAGAGAGACCCTTTAAGATGCTGGTTTACTGCTTTCCATTGATAGCTCTGTCCCTTGAAATTTTATATGATACTCACTCATACTTTGGAATAATAAAAATTATTTACCTCCAGTTTGGGCTTGTATCATATCCCACGGCAGCTGTAGTTTTTATCAGATCTCTCGTTTATGCTCTAAATATATTAATAAAGTTTCACATTTTCTAGTACTTACTGTTGTGCTTTGGTTCAGAACATTGATTTTTCCCATAATTTTTTTCTCCAAGCACTATCAGTTTTTAGAAGACTGATCTACTTTATACTAGATTTGTTCATGATCTGTGAATGTTCAGTAGTCACTTCATGAGTCCATCTTCGGTGATTCTGTACATTTTGCTGGGATGGCTGTCAACCAACTGTCTGAATATTTAGATGTTTCAGTCAGGATTTTATTTTTGTTTATACCACTTGTTATGCATATACAGTACAGTACATTATGGGGGCTTTAAAGTTTGACACTTCTTCCAGGTCTTTGTATTCAATTTTTGATACTTTATAAATTGTGATTAAACTTTTATGTACATAAATTCTATATTCTTCTGAATTCTAGTTGCAGAAGAATACAATGATAGCACCTTTTAGCATTTTAGATGACTGTATATATATAATATTGTAATATTTGTGATTGTCATCCTTTATAGGCTCGTACAGGAGGAGCAAACTATGAAGTTCAGGAGAATGCAGGAGGATCTTTAACTGACTCCAGCAAACTTGAACAACAGCGGTCTGATGCTAGCTCTAGCCAGACAGATGAGCACAAAGCAATGCATACACCCCAGACCTGTTCCCATGCTGCTCCTAACAGTGTGGCATGCTTGGCTGATACAGGTTTGTTGATAAGTGATAATAAAACAGTTACATTCAACAGTTGAATTTCTGGGGTGTGAATAACAGTTGACATTACTGTTTCATGAAACTGTCTTCAGACACATGTTTAAATTAGTGTTCATAATTTGTAATGTTTTTACTTAAAATAAAAACTTTTTCCTGCAGCTTAATATAAAACTCTATGAAAGAATGCATGTGATATAGTACAGTACAGTTACTTCTAATTTTGTACAGTACATCATTTATCACTTAAATTTTCTGCTGGATACTTTCTATTTTAATTAAATTTTGCTTCTCCAGTATTACAAAACAATGAAACAATGCAACTATTGCTGAAGTCTGTTGCGGCATGTGAAGGAAGCAGCGTATCCATGTTGCTGGGGACTGTGAGCGGTGAGGTGTCTGAGAAGCTGTGCCTCGGGGAGACTCTCACTGATGCACTCTACCAACTGCTTCTCACACTTAACACCAAGGCTACTTCATCAGACCTCATCCTGAGACCTGTTGTGACATTTATCACCCCAGGTTAGTTATAAGATAAGTTGTTTAAATTTAACGGTGCACTGGTTGTCAAATTTTACTCACCTGCTGGATACTGGTTTGTTGGAGATTGGAAAAATATCCAGCCTTATTCCGGGTATATAAAACATGCTCAAATACTACGTAAACACTCGCTGAATCTTTACATTTTCAACGAATTTCTCTTGATCATCAGGGTGTACAGTACTACATCTGTACAACTTTTAATATTTTTTAGGCTTGTTACTTCTTTCTTTCTTGAAATTATAGGATTTATAGCTGCCATTGGTTTTACTTGATAAATAAATGAGAAATGTTATTGACAGGAAAATATTTTATTTTAGATGGTAAAATACAACTAATGAGACAATTTTTCTTTATATAAAATGGCTTAAGCCATAGATACATAACTCTTTGTTGTATTTAATCTCTGTTGTCATGAATTCCAAGAGATTAAAAGTGGTTGAGATGGATAATGAGCATTTTTTTTATATAAAGAATACAAGGTAACCAATTATATTTCTAAAAGATTTTCCATAGGTCACTCACTGTAGAAATAAAACCAGTACTCTTGATAAGTAATATTGAGTATGCCATTCAGTTTAGTTGCTATGATTAATCTGTCATTTTGTTAATGACCTGTATGTATTTTAAGTTGTTTTATTTATTTAGTATGGAGGTATTCTATTTGCAGGTGGTTGGTGGAGTCCTCCATCATTGTCAGAACCTGCACTGTGTTTCTTCACTCGAGTGCTGGATTGTCCCACCATCCTGGAAAAGTTTGCTGCCCTTGGAGGCATGAAGGTGAGCTACTGTTTACCTGTTAGTTCACCTGTGAATTATGAGCTCTACTGTATCGACACCCTTATACTTGTCTTTGGCCCATACAGGGATTTGAAAGACATCAAATTTTCAGAGAATCTTATAAAAGTCACTTTTCAGGCAGATTGACCTCTAGCCAGTGCCCAGAAAGAACCAAATACACCTGCAGTTTTTTTTACTGCTGTAAAAGATGTGTACAAGCATGGTGCTTCCCTGTCATACCAAGGCCCCAAATCTGATTACCCCAGTCACTTCACACAATCCAGCATCATCTATCTGCAGCACATTATTTAAAACCCACTCATTAATAAATCCTTTGCTCATTCATTGATACAGCTGCTTCCTGGATGTCTATCCCCTGCATTAGAATCTTGACCTCTCCCTCCTACTTTTCTCATCTGAATTCACTTTTTTTACCAGTCTTTCACAAACTATTACCATAGCATGTCCATACCACCAGAGCAGACCCTGTATTGCTCACTGCCCCATTGAAATTAAAGGTAAATTTAAAAGGGTGGTACTGAACAGTATGGTAGTTCAGTAATTGTATATGTAGCTACTGTATATTTCATTTTAATAGTATTAAAGGTGAATAATATACTGGTAAGTATTTTAATCATCAATTTCATGGGGACTTATGTCATTGGCAAAAATTATGAGCAGTCTGAATTTATGATGAATGTAAAAAGGGTGACAAAGACTGATATTGGTGTTTAAGAGTAAATTGATGAAGAATACAGTACAGTCGACCCTCGTTAATTCGGACCCTTTTAATCCGGATTTCGGATAATTCGGACAAAATCTGAACGAACTTTTTTTTTTTTTTTTTTTTTAAGATTTGTAGGAATATTACCTACGCGGACCTTAAGCTAAAATGCTGGTCCACCCACTGCTGGGATAAAACACCAGCGTCTTTTTGGTCAAATGTAACATCTCCACCACTAGTGTGGGGGGGGGATGCAACTTTTAGCTTCAGACATGAAAAATATTTACCATTTACTGCCAGTAAACAATGGAAATGTAAAATTTGTACCAATTAGTAATGAAAAGTTGTGCAGTTCCTTCAGCAAATGAAGCTCACCAACTTACAATAGGCTAAATTACCTTACAACGTGTTTTCAGTAGTCTATGTTGAAGTTCTTAGCACAGGCTAACTTATCATATCATATACGGTATCACAGTTCTCATTGATCTACAAAAAATACCGGTAATAAAAACCTTTTTGATATTTCACACTTAATATAATACCCGGTAATCTACTTCAACCTCCTATTGTTTACAACGACACATGACGCACCACCAGCTGTTGAGTATCAGCTACACGGTACACGTGTTTTTCAAATCGTTTTCAGTTAAAAAACTGTTACATCACATGTATATTTTACCTTAACTGTGCCCGAATGAATATATTCTCGGAAATAAATAGTAGTTTTGCTGAAACGTGATGTATTTTAATGTAAAATAAGATAAAATACATGACGAAAACAAAAGACTTTACCTAACCTTCCGATGTTCTAGAGAAGTTACTCGTTTTTTTAATAGTTTTTGGTTAAAATACTGTTATATTACAATGGTATTCTATTCATACTGTGCTTGATATAATGCATTCATAGAAATGTAATATTTTTGCTGAAATGACATACGTATTACAGTGGAAAGTGGGATCAAATCGTGACGAAAACAACGACTTTCGCTTTCTTTCATTCAAAAGATGTTACCGTAATCGCTTTTCGATTGGTTTCAGTTAAAAAACTGTTGTATTACAATAATATTCTATCCTAATTGACTTGAATAAATACTACGATACCATATTTCTGAATATTTTCATTAAAATTCATCCAAATCATTTTCCTTGTCATCGTCTGCAGCACCAAACAGCTTCTCCCAGTCCTCTCCTTGAACAGGGCTAGAGGGTACGTGTTTTTCGAATCGTTTTCAGTTAAAGAACTGTTACATCACACGTATATTTTAACTAAACTGCGCCTGAATGAATATATTCTTGGAAATAAATAGTAGTTTTGCTGAAACGTGATGTATTTCAATGTAAAATAGGATAAAATACATGACGAAAACAAAAGACTTTACCTAAGCTTCCGATGTTCTTGAGATGTTATTTGCATTTTTAGTAGTTTTCGGTTAAAATACCGTTATATTACAATGGTATTCTATTCATACTGTGCTTGATATAATACATTCACGGAAATGTAATATTTTTGCTGAAATTGCATACGTATTACAGTGGAAAGTGGGATAAAATCAGGACGAAAACAATGACTTTGAAATATAATGCAATATTAACCCCTAAATCGGTTAATTCGGACAATCGGCTAAAACGGACACCCTTCCCCCCCCTATTAGTCCGAATTAACGAGGGTCGACTGTATGTTTGTAAGTCAAAATTAAGGAGTGAATGAATTCTGTAAGCACTTGAGTGCAGGGTGGAGACTTGGACCTATGCTACAGGTAATGGGAAGCACTGTAGTAAGTTTATATGGGTAAAATGGTTTTGTTTTTGATAAAAATTTATACAGTAATTATTTCAGAAATTTTGTAAATGTAGTTTATTTATTCCTGAAGGAAGCATTATCCATGAAATTTTCCCTTTCTTTTGCAGATGCTGTGGGAGAACCTTGTGAGCAGTGTGGGGATGATGGGAGGTGGACGTGGAGGATTAGTTACTGCGGTCATGAATCACCTGGCTCCTCCACTCCCACCTTCTACCCACAATACACCTTCCAACAAGCGCAGTGAACCCCTAGAGCAGACAGAGGGACTATATAACTTTGCTCCTCTCGCTGTTGTCACTTCCAGTAATCCTACAGCAAGACCTGCAAATGTTCTTGTGGATTCAAATCAGCTTTTCCAAAGAACAAAGGTGTGTGTTTTAAAATTTTCATATCATGTAGAATTTTACTCCTCCCAGCTCCCTCGTGTAAAATTCTGGGGATGATCTTTAGGTACTGTACTGTACAGCATTTCTGTACAAATTTCAGTAATCCAGAATGTTTGCTTTAATGAAACTGGCAGTAAAACATTTTTCCCCTCCGGCAGTGATCACTTTTCCATTGGGTACTCATAAATGGACAACATGTGTAGCTGGATATGTAGGAAATGAAATACTGAAAGAATATTATATAAACAAATAAAAAAAACTAAAGTTCTTAAATATATTTTTTTTAATCAAAGCATCAGTAACTGAGCATTCTGTTATTGGCTCCCAACCTTTATTATTATACAGTAGTGACATATAATCAACATTGATTGCTTGTGTTTTATGGCTGAGTACCTTCCTTTTGTTATTCTCTCTTCAGGAGATTTGTTGATATAACTTAATGGGTTGCTACACTTTTTCATTGCAGAACTAAGTGCTTTCACCTCTACTTTTTTGCATAAGAAGTTTTATGTTAGATCCATATATTTCTCAGTCCTTTTATTATAATTATTGAAATAATTTGAATCATATTTACATCTTGCAAAGCATACCTCCATTTGCTAATACTGTAATATAATTTTGTGATAAAGGTTTCTTTTTACTGTCACTGAGGATGACAAATACCAAGCTGTATTGAAGGGCAAACCTGATCTTATAGGCAGTTTTGATTACTAGGAATTGCTGAACTGCATGGTGTCATGCCTTTTCAGACTTCCATGTCTTAAGAGCAAACTGTGACATCTAATTTTTCATTTTGAGTGTTGGATGCCACCATTTCCTTACACCAGTGGTTGACTGCAAAACCCCCAAATCCTGGTTACATATTTTCATGGGTTTCACTGGTTCTGTTATAGAATGGCTTTTCATGATGACACCCTCAATCTCCTTTCAGAGTGCTCCTTGGTCTTACCACTTCTACCCTGATGAGAGTTGGGTGGACCTGAACCTGACATTGCCTTGTGCTATCCTGCTGCATGAGGTGCACTTATGTCCCCACACAGTCTCCCTCGTGTGTAAGTACCTCATCTTGTCATAGATTTTATTGTACTGTATTTCCCTGTTCATATTAATTGACAGCCACCTAACAGCTGTTGAAACATTTAGAAAAAAAAAATAAATAAAACGACTCCAATTATAAAACTACTCATCTTGTGCAGTAACATCATCATGTATCTTTATAACTACAGGGGTTCCCCGGGTTATGAACGGGTACCCTTCCTGAGAAAGTTCTCAAATAGGATTTGTATGCAAGTCAGAACACTTGCTATGTGCATAAAATCAATACATTTAAAACAAAATACTTAATTTACCTTACATGAGCATACATAGGTGTGCATTCGTGTGTGCGTGAGTGCATGTGTGTGCGTGCGTGTGTGTGCGTGTGTGCATGTGCGTGCGCGTGCGTGTGTGTGTGTGCATGTGTGCGTGTGTGTGTGTGTGTGTGTGTGTGTGTGTGTGTGTAATAATAATAATAATAATTAACGGTTTATTGAAAGAGCATGGCAGCAGGAAGGCTGAAAATATAGTTACATAATTGGGGAGTGGGTCTCTTGATTTACAAATAATATACAAGTAATATGAGTGATACAATTATAATATATAATAACTAGGCGGGGAGAAGCTCAAACTACAGGGCATTTCAACACAGTGACTGCAAAAAGTAAGATTGACTCGGAGTGAATACACTGGTTGATTACAAGTTATTGATAATTTTTACAATGGTTGGGACTGGACTGTTCTTATAGCAATCAGTTCGTGCTCGTATGGGCTGGATGCGGTTGTGGTGTCGAACAGCAATTCTCGGATGAGGGATCTCAGGTGGTAGTAGGAGCCGGTGTCGAGGATGTGTATGTGTGCGTGTGCGTGCGTGAAATTACAGTAAATATAATTAGACATAGTAGTTGTGTGAACTGAAAGATGAAGATAGAATGTATTGTAAGTGTTTATTTGGTGTGATATGTGAATATATCCTTGCTGAGCAGATCCACATACCAGATAAAAACAGTATGTCTTACATCGCTGTCTTATCGATTTGTTATTTTTGTGTTTTAAGGTAAGACTTATATGTAGAATGATCCATATGATGGCCATATTTTGTCAACAGCCTGCCCATCAGCTGTGTGTGTAGAGGTTGGTGTTGAGGGTGGGTACCTCATGCCTGTGAGTGGACCACTCAGTACTGCTGGACTATCCCGTGTTCGTCTTGTACTTCCTCGCCCTGTTGTGGCTTCCATCGTTGTGGTCCGTCTTCATCGTCCACGGGATTCTTCAACTCTGGGTTTGTCTCAGTTAAAGTTGTTGGGAACGACTACATTCAGAGAGGCTTCCAGAGGTGTGCATGAAACTTCCATCTCTGACTACACTCCACATCGGGCAAGGTACAGTCAACATAAAAGCACATCCCTCTCACACAATATTTTTTTTAATTACTCTTAATGATCTACTCTAATTAGTTGTCTAGAGTGTGATAATTAGCTGATGTAAGATGCAAATGTTTACTTTTTAATAGATGTCTTTGTTATCATTTCCAGTATGTGGTGGTTAAGACTGATCCATCAGTCTATGTGTCGTGTTGAAGGAGGACTCAGTGTAGGAGTGGAAGCAGGAGCCTCGGTCTCAGGAGTCATGGAGGCTTGTGTCACGCTGCTGTTGACCCCTCCTGGGCCCCTCCACCTGGCACCCCTCGGCTCAGCTCCCTTAGAGGCCACCACACTCGCCTTGGCAGCTCGCTCCCCCCAGCTACTGCACACCTTAATCATGACACTCCTCACTCACCCTCTACTCAGACAACCTGCAGGTGATGCACATACACAAACCTAGAAAGTGTATCCAAATATAGCAATAGAGTTACTCTATAGATTTTAAGTTTGCATACAGTAATTCTCATGTTAGTGACAGTATCATCAGAAATTTCACTGTAAATACAGATATAGATAAAACAGGTTCAGTGATTCTTACATTTCAAGACGCTATCATTCTGTCAAATTCTGAAATATATATGCTAGGTATCACTATTTCCTCCATTATGTCTTGGAAATCACACATCCTTAACATAGCTAAAGCTGCCTCCCGAAAGTTGGGAATGCTGTACAGATGCCGTAGCTACTTCACTCCTGAGCAATTGCTTCAAGTATATAAGGGATTCATTTGTCCTAACTTGGAGTACTGCTCTCATATCAGGGGTGGCTCTTCTGTCCAACTGTTAGATATGGCGGAATCAAAGGCATTTATCTTATTAACTCCTCCTTTAGTTGATAATCTTTCTTCCTTTTCTCTTCGCCACAATGTTGCTTCACTCTCTCTCTTTTACAGGTACTTTAACGGGCAATGTTCGGTTGATTTAGCATCCTGTGTACCACCGACAAGGCCGTGGGCTCGTAACACACGTCTTGCCAGCGGTGCCCACCGTTTCTCTGTTGATGTCGGTCACACTAGAATAACCTGTTATAGTACACTATTCTTTCCTTACACAGCCAAACTGTGGAATGCTCTACCTTTTTCTGTGTTTCCATGCTTATACAATCTGTCTCACTTTAAAAGGCTGGTTTTCCAGCATCTTCGTGGTGTAGTTTAACACAGTACTGTATAACCTTTTTCTTCTCTATTTTTAATTTCTTTCTTTTCTTATTTTTTCGCCTCCCAGACCCCGTTGTGGGCCGTCCGACCTGTGCCCGGGTGGGTTAATTCCCGTGAAAAAAAAAAAAATGTCAGTAGTAACGGGTACAAATTTAGTCATAAAGTGCCAGTACAGTACAGTAACTTCTGTTGGTTGACTATCTCGAGAAACATCAGTTAAACACAGATTTAAGAGTGAAATACTGGATTAATAATTTCTTTGTTGTGTCAGTATCATCAGAAACATCAGTACAGTACACACAGATTTAGTCGTAAAGTACAGACAGACTCTCTTGTTTGCATATGGTGACAATCCTTAACCATTAATACAAGTACTGTACACATTTCAATATAGATGTGCAGTAATTCACTCCCTAGGAATATTATAATTGAAGTATAATCAACCAAAGATTCACTGACCCCATCCTGGGTCTTGTACTCGCAATTTTACCTGGCAATACTTGGTAAAGTAAGGCTGTATGTAAAAGTGATTGTGATTGGTGGATCTATTTTTGGCTGTATCACGGTCAGGATTAATATTAAACAAACCAAAGGTAGCATTTTTATATAAATAAGCTATTCAGCATTATTTTAGATCATAAGAAGTTTCCAAATATTTGTGCATTTGCTTAAATGAAGAAAATTTGATGTGAAAATCTTTTAGCCGCTGGGAAAATTTTCTTGAATTTTTCCACAAAATGTGCCCCTCGGAAAATCGTTCCCAAAGCCGGAATTATACGGAAAATTCCAGCTTTGGGAATTATTTTCCAAGATTTAAGTGTCTTTACCTATAATTATACGAACCTTTCCAACTGTACTGTTATTAAACATATATATTGCCTCAGAGAATGCCATGCACCAACTCTGTTTTGAAATTTAGGTTTTTTTTTTTCATGGAAATAATATACAGTACTGTAGTTGTTGGTGAACAAATTTAGGATAAGCTTGAGGATGAAATCTTACATTTTATGCAAATAGTCTTTTGAGGAGTAATGGTAAGCTTTATGATTTAGCTTCTTGTGTTAGGCCATTATTCCTGTTTTGCATTTATGGTAAACACAGATACCAAAGGGAATCTTTTTTTTTTATTATGTCATGGAAGATTGTGTTGGAGGTTAGTAACATCATGCTTACTGGAATTACTTCTGTTGCAGGTGGAAACAGTTTAGATGCAGCTATTGCCTTGCTGTATGAGTTGTGTGTGGGCAGCAGCAATATGGAGGGTGTTTCAGTGTTGCTGTCATGGCTGAACCACGTTGTAATGTACCCACCATCTCCAACACCTAGTGGAGATGACTACCATCATAACCTTGGACCTCCACAGCAGCAGTCACCACAGTCATCATCTGGAAGCATTAATAGTGGAGTCAGTGCTGAAGTTCTGCACTGCATTGCTGCTGTGCTCTGGAACACACCTCATGACACCACCAATCTTATTACCGATGATTTGTTCAGGTCCTTATTGATTCCTTTCTCTTGTTTTTTATTTCTTTGTTTTTTAGAAATTGTATTAAGTTAAAGTTTTTTGTATGATATATTAAGAGTGATTATTATTATATACTGTGCTTTGTTTTGAGATAGAAATAATATAATTTATCATTAATGGGTTGTTCTCCCTATTCCAGACGGGTTTACGAGTGGTCAGAAAGAAGTGAAGGTGAAGTGAAAGTTGGTTTAGATCATATCAAGTGCTCAATGTGTCATATTCGGCCACAACTCTTCACACAACTACTACTGAATATGTGTGTGTTAACAGTGATTGATAACAACCAGTCAATCACAGATGACAGGTGGGTTAATCTATTCTCATTCATATTATTCTATTTTTTCTATGAAAGAATAGGTAAAGGAAAACATGATAAGACAAAAAATGATGTCTGTAGGAAGATAAAGAGATCTTTCATGAAATTAAAAAAAGTACAAGACTAGCCTGGCATCCTTAACCCCTACGCCCCGGGCTAGGGTGCCCCTGGCTGTATCCCCCACGCTGGGTAAATCGAGAAGAAACAACTTTTCCAAAAATAATTTTTAACCTTTTTAAATAATAACACAATAAAAAATAACTAAGAAAAACTATATATTGGCCCTCTAGAAACTTCCCTGTGGCAGTAGTGGCGAGGGAGATAAAGGGACAGTGTTGTTTGACAGCTGATGCTCGTGGTCACTACGCACTTAGCGGTCATGTACCGTTTGCCTTTGTTTCCGGGATGACCATTAATGTATATATTTACTGATCATAATACTTTTTTCCTATAAATAATTAATTTAGAATATTTTATTTGCATTATTTTTCATAAAAAGTGCTTGGCAACACACACACGTAGTAGGGGTTAATGGAATATCTTAGTTTTGCATTATAATTTTTATTACTGTGGGCATTGCACTTATTATTAGCTGCATATGGATGAGAAAAAATGTATTTTTCACATCTAATCATGTTAAACTCTAAATTCTTAGATATGTTTTTCATATTTTTATGAAATAAACAAATATTGGTTTGCACCACATTTTAAGTGCCATTAGCAGGGCACACTATTAGTTGCACATGATGAGGAAAACTGTAATGTGTAATGTGTTTGCCTAACCAAGAAATGTTAAACATTGATTTTTCAAAGAAAAATAATGATACTGTTATTTTGCACCATTTTATATACAGTCTCTCCTCGACCTATGACGGGGTTCCGTCCCGATGACCAGGTCGTAAGTCGAATTGGTCGTAAGTCGAAAAGGCAAAAATAATACCTGGAGATTCTAAAATGAAATAGAGTACAGTAAAAGTAATCAATAATGAAAAATGAATAAAGTGTTACTGTGCACTTAACTTTAATGTAGTCAGCTGCATGCACACGGGGCCTCAATAATTTTTTTATTAAGCATGGAGACTACATTAATTGGATGAAGCAGAGGAGGAGACAGGGCTGGGTGGGTCATCAAGTTTGCTTTCTTCAGACATGCTAACATACTTGCTTATTGAAGGTATTGGATCATCTTTAGGGAGTGAAGAGGCAGCTGTGGTGGGGCGTGAGGTGACAGCAGTGGGGGACTTCTTAAAATATATGTCCAATTTAGACTGCACAGTTTGCCTTTTCTATCATTGTAAATCTCCCTGTAGCAAGCAAGTGCATCTTGGATCAGTCTGTCAACTTTTGCAAAACTCTCAACATTTTGATCCATTTCTTCAAACATTTGCATCCCTTTATTAATAATCCCAACCAAACGTCGGGGCTCGAAAATATGTAATGTGAAAAATATTTTATGCGACCATGGCCGTCGTATGTCCAGGTTGTCGTAAGTCGAATGTGTCGTAAGTCGAGGAGGGACTGTACATATCTTGTAGTCTAATTTGAAAATGGTGATGGTCACAGTGATAAACAAATTATATGAACCATGTATTAACCTACAATAACATAATAAGAAACATTGTATCATTACTAGAGTGAATGAAATAATATTCCCACAAACAACAATTGATAACTCTCAGGCACCTGTGTCTCACGTGCTGATGCCTTGGTCCCTTGAAATTTTGGCTCAGGGCGGACATGTCATCTAAGGTAAAAAAAATAATAATTTTTTTATCTTAAAATTATTTTTTGGCCAATAATTTTGTCTGGCTTAAGTGATATCCTCCTTAACGTGGTCCCCTTAATGAGGTTTTACTGTATGATTAAAGGAAGGGTACTGGGAGACTGGAAAATTCTCAAATATTGCAATTTTAGTAAAACAAAAGGATTCTTATGAACACCTTGTAGAGCTCAATCTTTGAACTACAGTAAAACCATGATAAATCGGACTTCAATATATCGGAATTCATTTTTGGGGGACTCTGAGATGCTCTAGTCACCAGAAATACGTATTTAAATTTTTTTTTTAAGTAATGGGGGAAGATTAAAAAAGAAAAATCTTATGAAGTGAAAAACACTTACTGAATACTGTACAGCAGTCTAATCAGATTTGCTATAGGCCTACTGAGAACTAGGACACTCGAGTATGTAAGCAGGTTGGGGCTGATCAGGTGTTGCAGCATTCGTCAGCTCTATTTATTTATTTATTCAGTATTATATGATTGGCTTCTTATGTTCATCATGATTAATATAACATCTTCAGTAATAGAGAAAAAATACAATACTGTATGTAATTTGTAATATGGCATGAAAATATAAAAAGGATAAGCTGTATCAGAAGGTTGTTTACTCAAAATGCTTTCTTGTGAGAGCTTTCAGCAAATGACCAGCTTACAACAGGGGTCACTATAACACACTGTACAGTATAGTATTTAATATGAAGATTCCTTCTTAAAAATTTTATTTACTACCTTCGGGTGTTATATGATGATGACTCAGTTTGGCTACTTGTACACTTAAACAAATGATTAATGAATAAACCAGGGTATATGCAGATGCATAATTCTTTACGCTACAATATTACTTATTAAGTGATGATAAATACACTGCAATAGTATTTATTAACTGATGATGAATGCACAACTGTGTTGGAGATACATTGTGGTAAGCCAATCAGCTGTTTGCTCTTTGTAAACAAATGACTCATGTTCAGTGTGGGATTCTTTTTTCAGGAAAGTTGATTCTTTTAGGCTAATGTTTTATCAACCTGGCATCAAATGATCCAAAATTATATGAGAATTGTGGTGGAATTGCATAAAGAAGTGTTAAAGGAATCCTGTGGAAGAGGGGGAGGAAGTCACGCACCCATGCTGCCCCTCTCCCACCCCCGTGCCAACTGCTCCTAGAGAAACACTTGTCTTCCACATACAGTATACTCCTACACTTATTTGTTGTTATTTTTATCTTTATAGAACTATACAGTATATAGTTTTCTTTATTCATAAGACAAATTCTGTGGTTACTTACATACAACACTTTACAGTAAATAACAATCATCTCAGTATCTCAGTGACAACAGTTGTTGACAGCCAGACTTACATGTCTGATTTTCAACCCAGAGAGTTCTGTTTTTTTTTAATAACCTTGTTATACACTTAAAGACCTTAGTTGTTGAAGTGCAGTAATAACATAACAACTGAATTTCTTTAGATAGTTCAGATAAGCAGTATTATCTCCACACTTTCACACACACACACACACACACACACACACACACACACACACACACACACACACCCACACACACACCACACACACACACACACACACACACACACACACACACACACACACACACCCACACACACACACACACACACACACACACCCCCTATATATTCGGGTTTTTTTTTTTTCGGACTCATTTTTCGGACTGGGGTCTGCACCAATTAGTCCAATTTATCAAGGTTCAACTGTAATTGTGAATATAAAGTAATATAACCAATGATCAATGCTCATGGGATCTGGTATTCCCTTTCAGGAAAGACAGAGAAGCTGAAATCCGTGCTGCAAGAACAGATGACATGAAGGAGGGGGTGGAAGGCTCTTCAGGGGCAGTGGAAGGACGACTAATCCTCCAGGACCCAAGCATCATATCCCTTACCCCAGCACACCTTCAGACCCTTGCAACTGTAGCACAATCTCCCCAGGCCATACACCTCATGCTCGACTCAGGATTCCCCTTGTTACTTGTTCATGGTATTCTAGGTAAGACAGACAAGACCAATTAAAGCATTCTTCTTCCTCTTGTATCACAGTCTGGGTCTTTTTATGTCATCACTGCACATATAGGAGGCATAATGATTTACATCTATGAGCATCTCCTTGTGCATGTACTGTACTTTCTTCCAAAGTTAAGTAAAAAGTGTTCACTGTAGAACTACGGTATGAACTTTTTAAGGCTTCATTGTATGCATATTTAGATTACCTCAAGCTGTAGAAATTTTTTTTGTGGCAATGTGGGCATGAAAGTTTTACAAACACATGTCTAGTTCTGCTTTGATTCTTTATTTGCAGAGTGGTGCAAGACTGAAGTTTTACACCAGGTAGAAAGCTGCACATCCCCTAGTGCTGGGGAGAGTGCCACGGATATGGAGAAAGCCAGTGTTGCTGAGAAGTCTAGAAGTGCAGAAGACACCCTGTCATCAGCAACACCTCAGGCTCCTCCACAAATTACAGCAGCCATAGTTCCCACATTAAGTACCTCCCTAGTGGCACACACACTGCACACACTGGCAGCACTGTGTGCTGAACCACCCATGAGAGACTGGTTGGGCTCAACTGAAGGATCTGTGTTTTGGTTGCCCTTGCTAACTGTTTTAGGTGAGAATTTTTCACACTAGCATTAAATTATGATTGAGTAGATAGATTGGTAATCACATATATAGAATAATGGCAAATATTTAATACATTTATTGGAAAATATATAATGGGATAATTAATGAGACTCATAACCTGTTTACACATAACAACCAATTTAAAAAAAAAATATCTCCATGTACTTTCTCACTTACCACCTCCACATCTTAGTGTTAAAGAATCTGTAGGTGAATAGCTTGGAAAAAATAGAAACACAGATGGAACTTGTGAAAGTGGAAAGATTGCCGGACCAGAGTTTGCTGAGGTGGTGTGGCCATAATAATAATGGACAATGAGAGGGTGTAATTTTGAAGTGGATGGAAGGAGAGAGGTGGGTGAGGAAGCGTGGCCATGTGATCAGAGAGCACAATGTTGAGTGGTTATTGGGGATGGACATGCTGCTGATGTGTGTGATCCTAGGGTGATGTATGAAGTGTCAGGGCTAAACCAAAGTCTGTAAGTTTGTAAAATTATGTACACATACATTTACACACACACAATGTTACTCATCACACACACAATGTTACTTTCCAGGTGATCCTCTTGTACGTGGTAGTGAGCCTTTGATGCGAGGTTCTGGCTCCTCTGGTGGGAGTGATAGCGACTACAGTAGTGTGGAGGATGCCACCATCCACCTCATGCGACAGTGTTGCCATAACCACCCTCACAACCAAAACCTGTTGGCCTCCACTCTCTGTCACCTCATACAGAGACAAAATATCCCACCTCCAGGTAAGAAAGAAGGGATATCTAATTTACTTACTTGTGACTTTAGTAATTAAGTTAAGAGGAAGGAGTGAGTAAAAAATAAAAGTTGTGTGTTTTTGTCTGTGTAATCCATTCTGACTTTATTTTTTTTAAGTTGCATCCAATTTATTAAAGCCCCATTTATTGTAGAAAAGAAATACTGTATATTCAACATATTTGACCTAGTAGATGAAGGTATAATGGCATAAGTTAATTTTTTCATGGTAAGTTCTTACCTTCCATACATATGAGATGATCTTCCAGGTGGAAAATGGTGTTGAGGTTAGAGTGGAGATTGAAGCATTAAGTATGTTGAGTCGTTTATGGTAATACAAAGAGTATAAATGTGGGTGATATTGATTATTGTTATAAAAGGCACTTCAAAATTTAGGGCAATTATCCTTAGGTGTAGGTGTTGGCTGCCACCACAAAAAATGTCATCATGTAGGAGAGCTGTTTCTGATGTTTAGTTAAGATCATTTGTTCCAAGAGTGAAGAGTCTTGCTGGTGTTTTTGTAGTAACAATGATTATATTTATTTACCTTTAGAATAACTAAGTTGTTATAGACATGGTTTTTTCTGGGCCTGATCCTTTAGGCTGTTAGGCTTGAATGGGAGTATACAAATAGCAAGTCCAGTCATTTGTAAAGGAAACATTGCTCAGCAATTAATTATTTATCATCACCTTGCAGGTGGTGTGAGCTATCTGCATTCTCTGTCAGGGTTCACTCGCCGCCTGGTGTTACAACTGTTGTTGGAAACAGAGCGAGTGGTGGTGCACATCAACAGTCCTCAAGGTGGCCTCTCATCCCCCACTGGCTGCAGCCTTCCACCTCTCACCCAACACCCTAAGTTTGGAGCAGGACACAAGACTAGACTCCTCAACCTTCCAACAACCACATCCATGTCAGATATTATCAAAATGGTCACAGGTAAAGTGTCATATAATTGTTAATGTTTTTCTGCTTACACATTGTTCCTTCATTCATTGTTATTTCATTCTAACTGCTGTCATAGGTGTGTGCTTGTTTGAAACTTTCCTTCCACATCATCACCCTTAATCTGGTTTATACTGTACTACACATAAATAACACACCATGTGGTCCTTACTCATTTTCACTGATGCTTCCTGGTTGTCCAGTTTCATGTTGTCTAGTGTAATCTTCACTTCATCCTTTCATCTCCTTCCTAATCTTCCCTTCTTCCTCCTCTTATCTACCTATGAAGTATACATTTTTTTTTTGTCATGGGAAGATATTGGAAGCATAATGTGTTGTCTAATGGTAGACCCTGCTGCCATATGGCATCACAAATATTGTGACCAAGTCCCAGGTTGCTGATCTGACTTTCTGCCTCATTTACACACAATTGTAGGGTCTCAATTGTTTCTCTTACTATTGACAATACAACATACATTGTTGTTTCTCACTTTTGATTTTTTTTCCATCTTTATGGTTCTTTATTGTTATTATTACAGTATTACTACTACTACTACATTTTTGCCCTCCAGGCCCTGATGTGAGTCAGTGACCTGTGCCCAGGTGGGCTAATCCCCGTAAAAAGAAAAATATTAATAAAAATAAAAATAATAATAACACTAAGTGTGCAGACCCCTTGCACACTCGATGCCCGACACATGTTTTGCATCCACATCTCTGTATTTTCCTATTTTTTAATCTCTGAAACATTTACCTCACATTTTCCTCTTAAGCAAATAATTTGTTTCTTAAATTCAAGCAAATAATTTGTTTCTTTTAAAATGTTCTTAAATCTTGCATCCAGAGTCTGTCTTTTATACTCATATAAAATCTACTCCTCCATTTGTGATACAGAACATCATTTACTTTATCTCCTGTGATATGATTAATTCTCTCCATACATTTTCCATACCCCTGTCTTTCCTTACATTACTCTCAGGTCATCACTCTTTGTTCCATTTGCTGACTCAGCCTCTCCCAGATATTTGAAATGCTTCACTATATTAATTTTATCTCCATACAAGCTTATTTTATTTCTTTATGCTTTCCTCTGCTTATTTTCATAACCATAATTTTTATTTAATGGGTGCAGTGGCTAAGTGGATATAGCACACTCCTCCTGTCCTAAGTGTCACTGGTTAGAACCCAGGACACCCACAGTCCACCCAGCTCTGATTGGGTACCTGTACCTAACTTTACAATTGGGAAAGTGATGGAAGTAAGGACAATCAAACGCATTGTTAGCCACAATACTTCATTGTGTACAAAATGCTAAGTATTCAGTGTGCTGTATCTGCACTCACTCACTCACTCAGTTTTCTATTTTAGTCACATTCATGGGTATAAATGAGTTTTCATGGGCAAGGGTTCTACAAAATTAAATTTCGACCAAAGAATGGGCTTTCGCATCTTTCCTATAGGTCGTTGTAGACTAATTGAGGGTCTCATTAGTAATTTGTAAACAAACTTTTTCTGTAGACTGGTCAAGAGGAATGTTGAGCAGCAGTACAGGAGAACTAGACCTGACCAGCAACGATCACCGAGAAGCAAATGAAGTGGGACACTTAGAGCTGATGGACAAGTTGTCAGTAGCTGCTGGGGTAACAGCTAAGGACAAGAGAAGCAAAAATAAGGCCAACACAACAATCCACAGAGTCTCCATGTCCAAAAGATGTATGCATATGTTATTCTTTAGTACAATATATTAATGATGAATTTTGATCCCTTGTTTAAGCAGCAGATTATTTTGTCTTAAGTTGATTCTTTGTGAAGGAGTAGAGTTAATGAGTTATATTTGTGTTGTGTTTCCTTGTTTGTGTATGTATATGTGTTGATATGCTTCTCATGTCCCATATCTTGAAACACTGAAAATAATAAACCTCCATCCGTTATGTCACCAGCAGCTGGGGGAGATCAGGATGCTGAAAAACAGTTCAGTAAATGTGCGACTGCCAGAACGTCAAGTGCCTCATCATATGCCCTGGTGCACGAGAGTTCGGGAAATCTATCAGGCCTGCCTTCTACACTGACCGTGGCCCAGGTGATGGCTTCACTCCGCCACGAGGGCCATGCACTGGCCTCACACGTCACTCTTACTCTCACTAATCGCAGAGACCATAATAGAGGTCAGTTTTATAGGAGTCTTATTATGTTCTGATCCTTTATGGGCTAGATTATGTTGCCAAGTAGGTATTTATCTTTCACTTACTCACACATGAGAGCCGCCCAGTCTCTACTCAGCAGCTTCTCGGCTTTTGTGATGTAGGAATCTCACCCTTGGTCTTGACTCACCCCGCCATGTGTTTCTACCCCCAACCCCCAAGCACAAGTCTAGTATGGTGATCAATTACTGGAGCAGTAATAATTATTGTTAATAGTGTAAATAATAATAATATAATAAAACAAGTTTTCTGTACCTCACACTGCCAACAAATTAGTGTTGTTTACCGAGTACTATTTCACCACACATGCACACATCACTTCATGAACATTCTCGACTCTTCCTAGCCCCGGTATTGCTAACCTGTGGTAAGGACATCATCCTCATTTATATCATGCATGGCCAGTTTTGTAAAACTAGAATTGCATTTTATTGAATTTTTTAAATGTTCCCGAATAAATCCGTATGTGGAGGGGGGCATAGTTCAAAGCCAGTGGTTAATAATATAATGTGTTTTCTGGAAATGCAATTATGAACTGTTCACATTTTTTTAATTCTTACCCTCAGCTCTATACATCACAAGATCCATCACTCACTATATCACTCAGTAAAGATAATTTAATGTCATTTCCTCTCAATAATGGAGGAGGATTAATTTGTATGGTGGTGCAGTTTTTATGATTTTACTCCCACTTGTGTCTTGACTTATTATTTTGTCTTTTAACTCCCTTTTGAAGAGCGTCCTTTATAGAAGCATATTACATGTACACACAGTAAAAAAGTATCATGCAGGGGGGGGGGGCCTCCCTGTTTGTTGAAGGGGGTGAAGCATCAACTGGTTTCAATATGTTATAATAGGATGTGGTCATATTTATGTAAGGGATATCCCCCAAATTACCATACAGTGCTGTATGGCCATTGGCTCTAGTGCTTGACTTTGTGCCTAAAATTCATGAATCAGTCAATCAATCCAGGAAAAACTTGCTTCATATTGCAGGTTCATTTCAAATTATAATTGAAAAAAATAGTTGCAGCCACCTCACATTTGTTGTGCATTTGGTCCACCCATTGATTTAGGAAAGAAAATTATAACAGATTACATAATTAATAAAATGCCTTAAGTGTTGAGATATGAACAGGTATTTTGTTACCACCAGCAGAAAATGAAAGTGGGCGTGAAGCTCTACTGCTGTGTACAGAACCTCTGGCATCAACCCTACATGTGTTCACCAGTCAGGGTGGATTATCGCTTCTGGCCCAGCACATGTCACTCCTCTACCCCGACATGGGCCAGCAGGTACGTCACTCAGTAATTCTCTCATGTGTTCTTATTGATATATTATTTAACATTTATTAAGATTTTTATGCTCCACTACCATTGTGTGAGGAGCTTGTAATGTTATTCCTACTCATCAACTATCAGCCACAGAAAATAAAAAAATTATCAAAAGTTGGGCTGCTTCATCCTCATCTGACTTGGGTAATGCTTGCTGATACACTAGTGTTGACATATGTTTAATGGTTTATGGGAGATATATTTTTACTAAATTTCTTCACAGCAGCCCAGTAATGCATCATCTGTGCGGGGCAGCAATGGAGACAAAGGGGAGATAGTGGTGGAGAATGATTGGGTCAGTGTGGAGATGAATGATTTTGAGGTGAGTGCAATACAATTATCTTGAACTCATCTATTTTTGTGTTATGTTAGACAACCTACTTTGTATATCTGTTCCATTGTTGAATCAGTTGGCAAAAATTATACAAATCTTTACCATGGCAGTAGCAACTCTCTGATCAGACCTTGTACCTAGTTATAAAAACTAGGTTTCCTCTGTTTACTCTTGGCCATAATGTTACATCTCTATTAGATTTGCTTCCACTGGTTTGGCTGATGTTGCACAAAAGTCTTTAACAACCACAAACCTTGCTCTTACACTGATTCACTAGATAATTTTCATCACTTTACTGTGCAGATTTGTAGTTGTAGAGCACTCTGTCTCCAACTTTTTATTTCATTTAACAGTTCTTTTAATTTGTTTACTTGGGCTCCATATAATTCTCAGTTTTAGATTGTTTCAGTAATAACACACAACATCTTCATTTCAGTAAGTGTTAAAATATCAATCCCACTTACCTACATTACCCTCTAATACGATGTCATTTTCAACATGCCGTTAAAATTCGTGTGGGTTTTGGGTCTCAAAATGGCTGCAAATTGCCATTGCATTGTAAGTACAGTGAACCCTCGAAGATCAGGACTAAAAGGGGGGACCACCTGTCCGAAAAAGCTGATTGTCCGTATCTTCCGGCGAATGTACTAAATATATAAAAAACGATAAATAATTATATAAAAAACACCAAAATTACAGTACCATATTTTACGGCTTACAAGACGCATCCTCCATTTTAGCAGTGAGTGTTTAGAAATTTTTTTTTTTTTTGTATATTCCTCCTGTAGCCATAGTTTTCTTAAAATAATATACGTATACAGTACCAATAAATGTGAGGAATAAATAAAAATACAGTAATACCAATAAATATGTTACAACAAAAAATCCTATACAAGTACAGATGCTCCTTGACTTACGATGGGGTTACGGACCCAAATCCAGGTCGTAAGTCGAAAATGCTTAAATAATACATAGAAAATCTAAAATTGGTGTCTCTTTTTCTTATCAGCACCACAAAACTCTCACTTTTAAGCTTGCCAGCCATTTTAAAGTGAATTACAAACAAAAATTTTGTCAGTACACAGCGCAATCACTAACGTTGGGACTCAAAAATACGTAATTTGACAAAATTTTGGTACGACTGAGGCTGTCGTATGTCCGGGTAGTCGTAGGTCGAGTATGTCGTAAGTCTAGGAGTCACTGTATATTGCCAAACTAATAAATACAGTAAAAGCCAAATGAAAGTTTAACTCAGTTGCCATTTGCATACGCTCCCTGCTTCCCCTTAGTAATGAAGACAGCTGGGACGCCGATTCCCTAGCAACACTCCCCCTTTCCCCCCACACACGCACGCCTCGCCTCCTCTCGCTCCCCCACTGAGCCAACCAGCTAATTCGTGTACACACACACACACACACACACATACATGCATACATACATACATTGCCATACGGCAAATTTTTCCTCGTAAAAATTTTTGTCTCTAGAATGAGTGGCATCTGAGCGCCAGCTGGGTTGAACACGTAGATCAAATTTACAGAATTTCTTTCATTGCCAACCCAACAGGAAGGATGTTGGTAATTGCTGTGTAATACTGTACTTTTTTTCCCAATATGTATGTAGGATGGTGTGTACATGAAACTGAGTAAATAATAAATGAAGGTTATGTATGTCTACCAGAAAATACGAGTTGTAAAATACCATGACACCTCACAGTTTGGCCCAGTAGCCTGGTGGTTACAATCACAAGCTAACCTAGCAACAATGCCACAATTAATCAATATTAACACTATTCTTTCAGTAAACACTAATAGCAAAAGTAAATCCAGTGAAATATGACTGGGAGTGAGAAGGTAAGGAACAACTGCAGATGACGCGCTAACTAGCAGTTACTCACTCCCCTTACCCGCTCCTGTTGCCAGGCGTACGTATGGGAGAAATACATATTTTGTAATCTAATTTGAAAATGGTGATGGACTCAGTGATAAACAAATTGTATAAACCACTTCAAAGACCTGGTTTTCTCTTCTATTTTTAATTTTTTTTACTCTTATTTTTTTTTTGCCCCCTAGGCCCCGTTGTGGGTCGATGACCCGGGCACAGGTCATATTCCCACAAACAACAATTGACAACTTGGTTATAAAAAAGTAGATTAAAACTTGCCATTCTAAGCTGGCTGTTTGTGAAGGTGGTTGAGGGCATTTGGTAGCCGTCACAAGCACAAGGAGCACAGTTGTTAGAGAGCAGAGTAGCACAGGCGCGAGACAGACTAGTGTTTAACCCGAACTGAGGCGGAGTAAGCGCACATGGCCCAGTCTCCTGGAACAAGAGAGACTCCCCGTCCTGGCCACGAAAATGCCGCCAGCTTTAAAACTACCCGCAGATATTTCTTGGGTACATTCAGAGTGTCATCCGTGAATAAACAAAGGCCGCGATTAAAAAATCCACGAATTATAAGGGTATGCTGTATTGCGAAAACTATTTAAGAAATATTTCTAATAACAATAATTTTGTTCTTTATGAAACAAGCAATACATGCTGTACTGTACACACTTTTTTATTCAGCTTAGCAATGAATTTTATATAAAGATACCGTATATACTCGTGTGTAGTTCGAGTTTTTAAGACCAAATTTTTAGGCAAAAAATTGGGGGTGGACCTCTACATGGATAATAGTTTTGTTAGGTTGAATCCGTGCATGATGAGAAGGGCGAGGAGCAACTTTTAGCTTTAGACATGAAAAATATTTATCACTTACTGCCAGTAAACAATGGAAACGTAAAATATATACCAATTCGTAATGAAAAGCTGTGCAGTGCCTTCAGCAGATGAAGCTCACCAACTTACAATAGGCTAAATTACCTTACAACTTGCTTTCAGTAGTCTATGTTGAAGTTCTTAGCACAGGCTAACTTAACATATATGGTATCACAGTAACCATTGATCTACAAAAAATACCGGTAATAAAATCCTTTTCGATATTTCACACTTAATATAATACCCGGTAATCCACCTCAACCTCATATTGTTTACAACGATGCACCACCAGCTGTTGAGTATCAGCTAGACGGTACAATTGTTTTTCGAATCATTTTCAGTTAAAAAACTGTTACATCACATGTATATTTTACCTTAACTGTGCCTGAATTCTCAGAAATAAATAGTAATTTTGCTGAAACGTGATGTGTTTCCATGTAAAATTGGATAAAATACATGACGAAAACAAAAGACTTTACCTAACCTTCTGATGTTCAAGAGATGTTATTCGTTTTTTTAATAGTTTTCGGTTGAAATACTGTTATATTACAATGGTATTCTATTCATACTGTGCTTGATATAATACATTCACGGAAATGTAATATTTTTGCTGAAATGACGTACATATTACAGTGGAAAGTGGGATAAAACCATGATGAAAGCAATCGACTTTTGCTTTCTTTCGTTGTTCAAAAGATGTTATCGTAATCGCTTTTCGAGTGGTTTTCAGTTAAAAAAACTGTTGTATTACAATAATATTCCTGCCTAATTGACTCAAATAAATACTTGTATGGAAATGTACAATATTTTTGCTGAAACTACCTGCGTTTCAGTGTAAAGTGTCGTAATAATGGTAAACAATTTGCCTTCGGCGCTCGGTGTTTCAGGCACGGCGACCCTCAGTTTATAGGACGTAGAGTGTTTTAGTGAAGGTTTTGCCGTTCCATTACCCTCAAAAACTTGGGTCGACCTATGAACGAGGCATATCATAAATTAATGATTTCTTGGTCAAAAAATCAGGGTCGACCTATAAACGAGGTAGAATTATGGACGAATATATACAGTAATTAACTAGATGATAAAATTATAATTTATATTTAGGTTAGCATTTAGTCATGAAATTTGCTTCAAATTTACCTGATGTCATATGGGATACCATGTCATCATGTAATCACACCTAACCCATACAAGCCTGGAAAATGGCCAGAAAACTGTGGCGGTGATGTTTATAGTTGTGTCTTGTCAGCATCTTGAGACTGCATGGGAAAAATCTGTTGACACACAAAAGATAGGTTCACCAGTTGTAGATTTAATGCTGTTTGAATATCAAAGTCAATCCAACTTTCATGATATCTTGTTTATTTTGTATTTTCAGTCAGGTAATATGTTGGACTACCTGGTTATGGGTGGAGGCAGCAGTGGTTCTCCAGGACCAGTGGGTGGAGGCACAGTTAGCCTCCTCACTCTGCCCTCTATCCCACCACATGCCTTAGGAGCTTTCACTCTGTTCCTGCGCCTCCCGGGATATGCTGAAACTCTCCTGAAAGATACCCACAAAGCATGTTGTCTTCTCAGATTAGCCCTGGGAGTAACTGATGATGGGGATGGAGGTGAGTACAGCATCTGTCATGCTGGTATGTCTTGGTCTAGCTGTATACAGTATTATAAATATAACTGATAGGCATCATAGTACAGTACTTTACACGTCCCTATAAATTAATAATAGAATACAAAGTTAATAGATGTTAATAGATGTCATACTAAACAAAGGTGCATGAAATGAAAATTAATTTACTGGAGGATTATTGTACATATAATAAAGAAGATGCAGTCCTGTTTAAAAATCTTAGACCTCAAATTAAATAAAATGGCTTCTGGTATTACTGTAATTACATACTCAACCATTAAAGATACTATGTTTTGGTGAGTCCTAGGAAAAAATATGAGGAAAGTTTCTTCTTAAGAGATGATATTTTGAAGTATACTCATACCACAATACAGTATATATAAACCTGGTACACTATATTGTAAAGTAAAGAATATAAATAAGCTTATTAATACTGGTATTTGCATTGAATGATGCTACTGCAAGGTAAACATGAGGTAAATATGGCAAATTGTACATCTCACACAAATATTGGAGAGAGTGTATCTTTGACATAACTTCACTATATCAAAAATTGCTGTGGCCACTGGGAACACTAAATGAAAAAGATCCCTAATGTGAAAGTCACAAAACAAAATAGGTTTTATGACAACACACTGTATGAGGGATACCTGTACACATCTTCAGTTACACAGAAAGGTTACTTGATAAAATATTTTGTTCGGGAAATATACAAAAAAGAATAAAGAATGAGTACTGTATTAGTACTGTGTTAGGAATGTTCTTAAGATGCCATTAAAGGTGATATGTTATATACTGTACACTTCATTTACAAGATAGTTATCGTAAACCAGGTCATTACACAATTTATAACCGTATATTGCAGCCTATAAGACGACCTTAATTAATTCAACTGAAATTATTGATCTAGGCCTATACTACCTGGCAGTTAAGTTGACCCCCTAACCTGCAGTTTGAAAGCTACATCCTCAGTGTCAGCTAAACTTACCAACACTTACTTTTTAACAGCACACTTTTTTTTTTTAGCAGATGTTACTCGGGCACAGAGATGTGGTGTAAACAAATCAAAACAATACAGTTCCTAGAAGCGTAAAAACATTTAAGATACACGTGTTGTATATTATATTAACAGTACAGTACATTGCTCTGTACTTGCAGTATAATGTAACAAGCACACAGACTCTTGGTACACGAATAAATAAGGTTATATTTTTTCATCTAAAACAGTACAAAATAAAAGTTGCATAATAGTTAAGTAAATATTGGATTGCCAATTTAAAACATTCAATTAACAGTACAGTACTTTATATTATTAATGGTAGTACACTGTGTTGGCAGTATGCAGCAACAAGCACTGTTTTCACTGTCTACCTTTAATGCCATTTGTGACAGTTTTTGGCATTTAACCAAGTCATTGTTAAAAATTATTCTCAATTATTCTCTCTAAATAATTTTTTATGTACAGTACTTAGCAACTTAAAAGCAACTTTAGGGATGAATCTAGTGACATTCACGAACAATTGTTGACAACACTGGCCGAGCTGCCGCAGGCCAGCCAGCTGTTCCCAGGCGTCTGCCTTGTTAACAACTTTACAGCACATTCGTGTAAAATTTAAAACAAAATCCAGGTACATTATATGTATATTACAAGTAACTGCCCCAGTAACACTTATTTGCAAGAAACCGTAGTTAACACTAAAAGATATTTCAATGTTCTGATAGGTGTCAGTATGTAAAGGAGCTCCCATAATATGACTAGTGTAAACACTGACCTTCGGCTGAGTTCAATAACAGTTACCCTTCTGGAAAAATGCTAAAGTTAGGTAAAACTTGTTTGTGAGTGCTGGAAATTAAGTGACTGAGACCTACCAGTATGGTGTAGTGAAAATATGATGCTAGTGGTGGAGTGTACTTAGAGGTTGACATTTTACACCTGTTGTATAAGACGACCTCTAGTTTTGAACATAAAAATTGGAGCTTCAAAGGTTGACTTAAAAGCTGCAGTATACGGTAAGTAACACTTAATGGTAAAAGAATTGACACATTAGTTTTACATATAATGACACTGTTGTAGAGCTATCATGAATGCACATTCTTGTACGGCATAAACGTACTCTTGAAGGCACATACAGTGGTCCCTCGGTTAACGAACACAATTCGTTCCAGAGGGTCGTTTGTTAACCGAACTCCATTGTTTCAATGGGATATTGGGTAATTGGTTCCGGCTCACCGAAAAGTACATACAAAGTAAAAAATAATGCAGTTAAGTACACTTACTTTGAGGTGTGTATGTAGAAGGTTCCTGGTTGATGATGATGATGAGAATTAGAAGTGGGGGTGGAGGAGAAGGGAGAAGAGAAGGAAGTGGGGATGGAGGAGAAATCACCTTTCAGGGGACCCATGCTGTCATTTCACCAATACAATTTTAAGTTCACTAGGTGTAATTCATGATTATTTTATTTAAATCAACATTGCACTGCGCTATATATTATCAATATGTTAACTAAATTTCAGAATGACCAATAATTTTAATGTAAAAATGCAAAAATGTTCAAGACACCAACAAAACAGATGTTCACTCCACTGTCAACAGAGCCCAACTGACGCCTGGTGGCTGAGTCAAGCGGCTGATGGGCACACAAAAAATTAGTTCCCTGTACTGCATATATTATCAATATGTTAAATAAATGTTAAAATGACTAATAATTTTAATATAAAAATGCAAAAATATTAAAAAGCACAACTTTCTTGATATTTACTCCACTGGAAACAAATGTAAACATAGAACAGATTACTGAATTGGCAGACTAGCCCATCAGCTGATGCTCACAACAAAACGTGATGTTTGTAAGGATTTCGTTAATCGAAGTTTTGTTCTTTAACCGAATTGAAGATCCTTATGGGAGGTAATTCGTTAACCGAAATTTTGTTAATCGAACCGTTTGTTAACCGAGAGACCACTGTATGTGTTATAGGTTGCATGCAAGACTTATTACGATAAGTCATGTTTTGACCAAGATTAAGATTGACAGTACCCATTTATTATATTCATTTATTCTTAAGTAGGGTGTATTGTAGGATACTGTACTTTGACATTTATGAATAATCAACCAGTTGGCTGTGACACTTAACTACTGTACTAGATTGTTTTTAATACATTGATATAATATGACATTTAACATTTTATCATTTTTATTAACATGTACATTGAATTGTGTGTGCAGGAGACATTGTAGGATCAGGTGTTGGTGGCTCTTTGGCCACAATGCCCTTCCAAGTGTTAGAGTCCCTGCTAGAATCCACACCCCTCACCACTGATGATGGAGTGTTGCTACGTAGAATGTGTCTCGAATCTGGTGCACTTCATCTCATCCTTGCATGTCTGGCAGCATTGTCTCACCAGGACACACCAGAGGTTGTCTCCTCCCTCTACCATCAGGTATTATGGCTCACCACAACCTATATTGATTACTGTACTTAGTCTCCTTCATGCTCAAGGTGAGTAGCTGAGGACATGGAAACATTATCCATTTATCCATTCAGGTATCTCATGAACATAGTCACTTGAAGAAATATAAATGGATTTGGGTGAAACTGTGTATCTAGATGTAACCCAACAGGACCTCAGAAAGTTTAATAGTAAGTAGTTTCTCATTTGTACTTTGGAGAGTTTTTGTCAATTTTATTTTTATTGTCTGTCAACCAGTCACTTGAGAAAAGGTTTTCATGATTACACCTTCAACTGTCAAATCCTTTCCTCCTAGTCTCATAATGTTATTAGATGTTATTTGATAAATGATATAACATTATGTCTGTTTCAGTAGTACAGTAAGAATGTATGAATGTCAGTGCATGAAAGACTGATATGTTTCCTTTTGATTTTGACCACCCTGCATTATAACAGGAAAGGGATTGAAAATAAGAAATCACATTCTCACCAATTTCAGATAAACAATTTGATGTATTCAATAACTCCATCACAGAATAATTGAATTTTGGGCAGAATGATTATATAATTGTTTTGAAACATTCAAACCTTTTCAATGTTATATTTCTTGTTTCACCCGTCCGAGTTAGTAATGGGGTGTGGTTCACGAATAGATATCTCTCTGTACAGTATATCTGTCTTATATCATTACTACTCTCCCCCTTCTGTGTTGGGTAAATTTCACCATCATATATCTCATTCCATTGGTATGTCACCGACCCTCTTACACTGCATTACATTATTTTATGAGTTAATTCTTATCTCAAATAGCTTATGTTTGTAACATTCTTGATATGTTCTCTGTGTACTTTGTTGTCTTGTACAATGGTATAATGGTCTGTCAAAATCTTCCATATTAGGCAGTGGTGGCCCAGCCCAAAAGTCCTCACTTAAAGTGCTTCACAGTCAACTCTTTAAGTGGTGTACTCATCCATCTAATGTTGTATACTTCACTTTCCCCCAGAAGGTACAGTAGTGTAGTTGGCCTGTAGGGTGGTGGGTAAATTGAAAGGAAACAACTATCAATAGTACTCTGATCAACGCAATTATTATTACAGAATGTGCCTATTGGCCTAGTAGTTGCAACAACAAGAGCCACATGCTTGGACACTAGGGACTCTATTGGTGTTCACCGTGGAGAGGGAGACAGATGTCATTATTGGGCCAAAGGTACAGGTTTTGGCACAGGCAGCACCACCCAGAGCTGGGATGTAGAACAGGCACTCGTGAGGCAGAAGGTGGAGGAAGAACACGTTGTATGGCTGGTACGCTTACTGGCTAAATACATTAATCCAGGTGAGTAGATACCATTCTTATGATTAATGTTTTGTCACAGAAACTAAATGTCCAAACTGAATATGTAAATAGCATTCTATATGTCTCTCTGTTTGGGAACTTTCTTTATCTGGATGACATAGAGATATGCCACTGAACATCTGGAAAATCCATGCAACAAAAGAAAGAACAGTGTTGGTGAAATACTGAAATATAGTTCGTGATAATGGAGATGAAAGAAACTAGGAAGTAATTGTGAAGGAAGGGAAGGAGAAAGTAAGAGTAAGAACACAACGATACAGGGAGAAAAAAAATGCAACAAGGCAAGAGATGAGAAGATTGAGGTTTTTGGTTTAAAAAATTTATTGGCAGAGCTTGTAGTACAGTTTGCCTATTCTGAGTAATTCAGTCAGGTCTTGACACTGAGGGTGGTATCACTTCTCACTGCAGGAAGAGGAAGGCAGAATGATGGTATTCCAACCAACAAGATGGAGAGACATGGACAGTGAAGTCATACCAGTAGTCAGAAGATCATCAATAAGGAACAAAGAGGGGATAGTGCTGTCAGTAGTGGAAAAGGTGTTGTGAGAGTGGTGGGAATATTTTGAAGACCTGTTGACCCCATAGGGGTAAAATGAGGTAGAGATACCACATACAGTATAGTGAGGAGGGAGGTAGAGATACCACATATAGTGTGGAGGGAGGTAGAGATACCACTTATAGTGAGGAGGGAGGTAGAGATACCACATATAGTGTGGAGGGAGGTAGAGATAACACATATAGTGAGGAGGGAGGTAGAGATACCACATACAGTATAGTGAGGAGGGAGGTAGAGATACCACATATAGTGTGGAGGGAGGTAGAGATACCACTTATAGTGAGGAGGGAGGTAGAGATACCACATATAGTGAGGAGGGAGGTAGAGATACCACATATAGTAGTGAGGGAGGTAGAGATACCACATATAGTGTGGAGGGAGGTAGAGATACCACTTATAGTGAGGAGGGAGGTAGAGATACCACATATAGTGTGGAGGGAGGTAGAGATACCACATATAGTGAGGAGGGAGGTAGAGATACCACATATAGTGAGAAGGGAGGTAAAGATAACACATATAGTGAGGAGGGAGGTAGAGATACCACATATAGTGAGGAGGGAGGTAGAGATACCACATATAGTGAGGAGGGAGGTAGAGATACCACATATAGTGAGGAGGGAGGTAGAGATACCACTTTATATCTGAGTAAACAGGAATTGGGTGCTGGAGGCTGTTTAATATGTACAGACACCATGAGAATGAAGTAGGAGAGTGATGATACTAAAATGGAAAGGTAATGTAGATGAGATGTACAGGAACCAGCAGGTAATAGAAGTATCACTACTTGATAGGTATTAAGAGCTATTGGATCAGCTACATGGATCAATAGATGCTTTGTGAGTAAGATCACCATGCAATCAGTAAAAAGGAGGACTGTGTTTATCTAACTGCTATATCTGGTATACTCTACTGTGTGTTGGCTCACGTGTCAATCCCTTGAAACAAACGCCTCTCACTAAACACTTAAATTTGATGCTTATCAAATAAACAGTTTTGTAGCTTTTGACTTCTGGAGGGATTAAGTGTATGTTATATATGTCCATTTTATTTTCAGTTATTCCTTCTTTATGTGGTATAAATTATGAATATTATTGATCAGGTGATGTTCTACCTCCTGAGTTACAACAACAAACAAATGGTGGTACTTCGGGTGGCAGCTTTGACTCCCAGAATGAAGGAGGATCATCTGAGTCCCAGAGCGAGAGTCCAGTTTTACTGCCTATGTCACCGCCACCACATGCCCCACCTGCCCTCCCCCCAGCCCTCCTGCACCTCTTCCAGAACTCAGGACTCATCACAACCATTGCTTCCAACCTCAGCAATGATTCTGGTATGTTCAGGATATAGAAGCACAATCATAAGAGCTTAGTTTAATCATTCCATCGAAAACACTAGAAATGTCTTGAAGCAGAATGATTTTAAAAATAGTATAATCATTTACTTAAAGTACCTGGTAATTTAGTATTAATATTTCAAGGTATACGTAAATCAGACCTTGAAATAATTTTTTTTATCCTTGACAGTGTTAGATATGTCTCGTCACGTGCCTCTGTATCGAGCTCTCCTGGCATTGGTACGAGGCCTGTCAGTCACTCCCAGCCTGGCGCCGCTGTTAATGACCACACACAATTCTCCCCCATCCAATGGAGGAGGAGGGGACACCACCATGCTCCCCTGCATCCCTGCCCTCCTGGAGAAGATGAAGAGCACCGTCAACACATACATGGCTAAGTTGAGATGGAAATCATCCAAAGCAGGAGGTGGCAGCAATGGCAATGGAGGAAACAACAATAGTTCCACAGATGATGCTGAACAGGAGGAGGGCTTGTCATTAATAGTCCCAGACATCCAGAACACTGCTGTGGTGGTGAAAGTAAGTTACTGTTGCACCGCACCAAGTAAAGGAGATATTGAATGGTTTCTCTATGTCTGTCCAGTCATTTGTATATTTATTCATTTGTCTGTCTCTCCATCTGTACACCAGTTGAGCTTTGTTGCTGTCTAATTTATATTTATGAAACTTGATACAGTGTACAAATTATTGTACTACAGTATATGGTATTGGAGGAATAGGGGTTTTGGCTGCAGACAAACAGGAATGGGGATTTTGGGCAGCAGATTGACAGGAATAGTGACATAACTGTTGTGTGGTGTTTCAGGTGTGCACAGAGCGACTGCAGCAGGAGCTGGACAAAGAGGATCAACCTGATGGTGGAGCCTCAGCCCAGCCAGTGTCATCTAGATCATTAATGGAGGTGTACCTCAGTAGTTTTAAACCCCTACAATTTGGTAAGCTGCCAAGAATTTCTCAACTTTGGTGGTGTATACAGTATATCTGATTTGTGGATTGCTATTATTATTATTGTTGTTGTTTTTTTTAATACTGGGAAAATCATTGAATTCATAGTTTTGGGACCTATTTACTAATACAGTAGTGTTCTCTGTATGAGGGTTTGGATCCTTTTGTTTACATGTCTGCAAAAATAATTGGGTTAAGGATGATACGAGCAATTATGGGCATGGTGTGGGGATTAACTTACTTTTACTTTAGTTGTGGCAAATGTTAATGTAGTAGGTAGTAGGCTGCTACCAAACAGGGAGGTACTACCGCCTGGGAAGATATTGGAAGCATAATGTGTTGTCTAATGGTAGACCCTGCTGCCATATGGCATCACAAAAATTTTGACCAAGTCCCAGGTTGCTCATCTGACTTTCGGCCTCATTTACACACAATTGCAGGGTCTCAATTGTTTCTCTTACTTTGATAACACAACATACTCTTCATCTTTTTTCTTTTATTTATTGATTTTTTGTATTAATTATTATTATTATTATTATAATAATAATATTGTTATTATTAGTATTGCTAATAATGTTATTTTTAATGTTATTATTACTATTTGTATTGTTGTCGTTATTATATTTTCTCCTCCATGCCCTGATGTGGGTCATTGACCCGTGCCTGGGTGGGCCATTGCCCAGTACAAAAAATATAAATAAATAATAAATAAATAAATAAATAAATAAATAAACAAATAAAAATTTGAGGGAGGTTATATCTTATGGCAACCCGTTTGTCTGTCTTTACTAAGTCATGTATGCCCCTCCAAAATTTCTAAGGTGAATGGAGGCCATAACTGGTAAACTATGGTGAGAAAATGCTGATTATTGAACTCATTTACCTTCAGTAACATAATTAAGGCTTCAAGGATTAATGTGCGAGGTTACATCTTGACTGAGTTCAACAATCAGCATTTTATCACCATAGTATACCAGAGTTATGGTCTCCATTCACCGTAGAAATTTTGGAGGGGCATACATCACTTTGAGAGAGTATGGTTTATAGGTCAAAGATTTTCTGGGTAATTTGGTCTGGATATAATTAATTTCTATGTTAGTGGCAATAAGATAGTTTGCATATGCCACTGACAATTAAATATTTACCATATATTATTAACAATAAATATTTTGTAAATTTGTGCTATTCATAGTTAATTTATTTTTAAGATTAAGATGGTGTACATTTACAATTGGTGTTACCATAACCTGTGTTATATTGTAAAGTTTTGTTAACTATTTCAGATACGTACGAAATGGTTGTTGAAGATGCAGAAAGAGGCATACGATTTGTGGTGTCGCATCATTATGAAGGGTCAGTGAGAGGAGCAGGAGACCTGTGTACCCCTCGTAGGATGAAGCGACTGGCTCAGGAAGCTGTCACCCTGTCATCATCACTTCCTCTTTCATATTCCTCCTCAGTATTTGTCCGCACAGATCTAGATAGATTAGACATTATGAAGGTTTGTATTTTTTCAGGTAACCTAGTTATTTCATCTTAAGATTTTGTGGCAAAAATTTGCATTCAGTATGCAGTACGTGTAATTACATCAAACAATATCTTAAGTACAATACTTTATGTGGCTTCATATTTGTGTGGGAAATGCAAAGTTGTTAGTGAAGATGCAGTAGGACCTCACACGACTACTATTAATAGCAAACATTTTTAGTGGTGGGGAATGTCCTCCTCACCAACAATGACAGGTATATCAAAGAAGTGTATGAAGGAGGTGTGGGAAGCAGGAGACTCAGTAAAAGATGACATATGTGGTGAATGTGACCTATAGGAGAGGATTCTTTAGACTGGCTGAAGATCATAATGATCATTAGAGTATGAGAGACATATTTGAGAGTGGTCAGGGGCATCAATGGGTATATTGTGTCAGCAGTGTGTGTGAATCATTGCAAGAAAGGGGATAAATGAAAGTTTCTTAGCATGTTACCAACAGTTTTAGAAGTAGCTGAAGAAATAAAGAAGGAAAGTCTGTGAGAAATTAAGGGGTATTAGGTGTGATGATTAGAGGCTTTTTAGAGAAGACATTAAAGAAGTGATATGTGGTGAAGCATGAATTGTGGCAAAATAGTGCTGAAGTATTTGTATGTACTATTAATTATTCTCTCGTTTTTTTTGTACCAGGTGCTGATCACAGGGCCAGAGGACACGCCATATGCCAATGGGTGTTTTGAGTTTGATGTTTACTTCCCAGTCGACTACCCAACCTCACCACTCCACATCAACCTCCAAACAACTGGGGAGGGACGGGTAAGAGCATCATCCCTCTCTCTTACAGTGACCATATATATATATATATATATATATATATATATATATATATATATATATATATATATATATATATATATATATATATATATATATATATATATATATATATATATATATATATATATATATATATATACATATACATATACATACATACATACATACATACATACATACATACATACATACACATACATACATACATACATACATACATACATACATACATACATACATACATACATACATACATACATACATACATACATACATACATACATACATACATATATATATATATATATACATACATACATACATACATATACATACATACATATACATACATACATACATACATACATACATACATACATACATACATACATACATACATACATATATATATATATATATATATATATATATAATCAGGAAACCTGTGTTAGGTAGGGTCACACTGGATAACACCCTTTTCATGTGTCCCGCCAAGGCTCGAACCCATGACATATTGGTGAGATATGCATGTTACCACTGTACCACCAACACCCCATTAGTCTTAAAACTGGAGTCTGATGGACAATATATTCTCATGCACCATTGAATGATAACCTCAAGCCAATCCTTCATATATTACAGTAGTCACTTTTATGGCATTTTGATTAGAATTGGTCTGAGAGAGGATGAGATTTGGCCAACAGTTGATAATACAAAAGGGTTCACAGGAGTCTACTTTACTTCATTGTCTTACAATCTCTTTAATTAAACCTACCCCTATACTGCCCTTTATTGCAGTCACTTAATACTATGTTTTACTTAACATTGTTCTTAATTTAAGGTCACTGCCACCAGACCACAGGACAGTATGTGTAGTGTTCTTTAGGTAGCAGGCAAGTAGTCTAGGCACTTTAAGTTTGTGTTTTTCATTAATCAAGTTGAGAGTGGACGGAAGGGTGAAACACCAACCAGTATCCTTAACTAGTTTATTTTAGACATATTAAAAATATTGCATTCAGTCACAATACAAAAAATAGTTGACCTTCCCCAAGCAATTAATAAGGTCACTGCACCACACAAAAATACTCGACCTCCCAATACTTAACCCTTACACCCTGGGTGACATACCAGAATGCCTGACTGGTGCGCCGCGGGTGACATTCCATAATACGCGCCATTTCCCGCCAGTGTTTAAATGCCCAGCGCAGGTTATCAGGTTACAGTGTGACTATTTGCCTGTCATGCTACACTTTAGGCCACAGGGAAGCTTCCTGAACGTAATTACTTACTTTTGTTTGTTTAATTTCCATTGTTGTCCATTTTATCATGTTGTATCAAAGTAATATTGCTAAAAGTTGTGTAGTTGTATTGTAGTGTAGTATTACTGTAAAATAATGCTACGATTATGTTATAAATGTATTTATTTGTGGAATTATTATTTTATGCATTACTTGCTCTACCAAACACAAAGACATCCAGACAGCCTGGCGACCGACTGCATTTGTGTTGCCAAGCACTTTTTATGAAAATTAATGCAAATAAAATATTGTAAATGAATTATTTATAGCAAATAACTTTTATGATCAGTAAATATATGCATTACTACACAAAGGCAAGCAGAAAATGGCCACTAAGTGCGTAGTGACCACGAGCGTCAGCTGTCAAAACAACACTGTCCCTTTATCTCCCTCGCCACTACTCCCACAGGGAAGTTTCTAGAGGGCCAATATATATTTTTCTTACTTCTTTTTATTGTTTTAGCCAGGGGCTAGGGGGTTAAGGTCTTCTTCTCTCCATGAAAAAATCATTGACCCCCTTACCTAGGCTCACTCCTTACCCAATATCATCAAAATAAGGAACACTCAATAATACACACAACACATACAGGTACTGCAGCTCATTCTTAGCACCAAGGTACACACAGCCGGTACCCGTTTCACCTTTTACTCTTGTTAGGTAGATGAGATCCTTCACAGACATTCATGCCAGGACAAGTTCTGCGTCCGGTATCATTAGGTCACTAAAAGTAGCGACAGTAAGCACTTCAAGTAGCACCAACATATACTTCACATGCAGGGTGCTGAAAGCGTGAGGTATCCAGTGACCCGTAGGGGAGGATGCTTAGTGGTCCCAGGCATTACCCACAACACCAGGTGGGCTCCTCAAAGTAAAACAGTTGTTGCTGGGCCAGGCATTCCTTCTGACCTCGCTTGTCTATATTCACGGTCCTCTCCGTTCACACACAGGCGTGTACACCTGCTCGTATGTGATAATGGGAGTCACTGAGATCTAACAAACGTGTTTAGTGGCCTGATGGGCCTTTGTATATCCTACTGTGGCGGTAACATTCAGTACTCCCTTAGTGCAGTGAGTTTGATTGTTATGCAGCTGTAATAAGAATCAGAAGAGATTATAGAGACCAGTACTAATGTACGCAGTACACCTCATCCCACTTAAGGCATCAGAATGCAGTTAATGGATAAATATCCCTTTCAGGTGCGCTTTAATCCCAACCTGTATCAGGATGGGAAAGTGTGCCTCAGCATCCTCAACACTTGGCATGGAAGACCTGAGGAGAAGTGGAATCCCCAGACCTCCTCACTATTACAAGTATGTACCACTCTTATCATTATAACTATGCACCAAACATATCATTAGAAGTATTTGCCACCCATATCATTATAAGTATATGTTACCCATATCATTATAACTACACAAACTTCAGTATTGCTTTAACTTTTGGAGATTCAGCAAAATTCGGTGTTAATGACAGTGTGGAGGATATGTCACAGATGCTGCCAACTGATGGCCAAGCTTTGTGCGTGTGAACTTCATTCACACTAACAACATAACCTCATATGAAGGCCTTGGTGATAATGGCATGAGACTTTCTTTGTAGTATTGCCTGATATTTGTGTGTTACTGCACCAAGATAACAGCCATCCGGGAATTCCAACTGTTATTAATAATGTCAACATTGACCATCTCGTCAAGTAATTAAATGCAAATGGATTTACTGTACTTTGCTTGACAAGTTACTTGTGTTTGAAACCAACCCCCAGTTAAGAACTTTTTTGGTCACCCATTACTATTTATACAAATCTTTGCTCTTCAGATAGACAGAGATATTAATATTGTTTATTGCAATGACACTTGGCAGATGAGTGCAGTAGTATTAATCCCTATCCTTCACCAGTAAATAGGTCATTTAGGCTAATAATAGAGTACATCTCTATCTTGAACTATCTGTTTCATTAAACCCATTCAATTCACAAGACTTCTTTATTTTTGTTGACTAACATTAGTACAGTATTACTTATTGAAGTCGTTTCTATTTTATTAGTAAGTTTGCTTTATTTATTTTTTTCTTATTTCAAGTACTGTAGGATGAAAATAAAAAAGACTTTCCAGAAACAATGCTGTAATGAATAATTTATTTGCAGGTTTTAGTGTCTATCCAAAGTCTAATTTTTGTGAGTGAGCCTTATTTCAACGAGCCTGGCTATGAGAGATCAAGAGGTACACCGACTGCGATGCAAAACTCACGTGAATATGACGCAAATATACGCGCAGCAACAGTCAGATGGGCCATGCTTAACCAGCTGCGTAGTCCTTCCCCCTGCTTTAAGGAGGTAAAAGTTTATTTTCTTTTGTTGTTACATATTTAATGGTTCACTCTTAGTTATGAATTATGAAAGTAAGTTGACTAAATGATGATGGCCCAGAGTATTGAAGGGTATAGTCTAGGATGTCACAAAGCTTCCTTGAACTTGTCCACCTCACTAAAAGTGAGGAGCTCCGGACCATAATCTGCTAAGAGCCATATATCGCTGAAATGTGTTATGTATTGCGTTGTATTCCCCAGCTGCTCCTCTGTCCCCTGGGTAAGTCAGAGAGCCCATAGAACAAGTACTTGTGGTTGAGAGTCCTCTGAAAAGACTACAGTATTGCATTTTCCTCCATTTTCTATTTTGGCACTTAGCAGATTATGGTCCGGAGCTCCTCAAGTACCCTATTGGGGTGGTTATTATGATAAAGGTACCTGTGGTTAAAACTCTACAGGTAAAGAGAAAAAATAGTGTTGTTAATGAATGAGAGCTGTTAGAAGACTCTTAATTAATAGGTGGCAAGAATATAAACTTTTGCTGTTGGTGAGCTACAATTATCAGTGGTGTTTGGAATATAACCCAATTGTGCAAAAAATTAAAATTTATACAGTAGGAGACTTTATACGTCACTGCTTGGAATGCTCAAAAGAACACAACCAAAGGTTCACTGTTAAGTAGTTCTTTGATTTGTTAATATTTCTGTATCCAAAAAGTCATTTTGTATTTCAGAGGTGATGTTCCACATTCTAAATTATACTAAATTACAGGTAAATAAGGAAAGTGTACAGCAGTGTTAATGAAAAAAAATTGCCAAACATGTGTATTAAAGGGAGAACAGAGTAGGTTTGGGAAATGAAGAGATTGTTTGAATCCAGTGCATGTGTTAAGGAACGTGAATGAGAAGTGTTTAGAGAAAGGAAAAAATTTATTTATGGGATATATGGATCTGGAAAGTATATTATAGAGTTAATAGAAAAGCAATGTAGGAATTGTTGAAAATGTATTGGATAGGTAGAAAATTGTTAAATACCATTTGGAATTTGTATAAAGAGTACAGTAGGCTCTCATATTTGGACACCTATTTAGACTGTAAAAACCTCACAAAATTCAAATCGTCCAAATTTAAATACAACTTCCTATTTAGAAAATTAATTTGAGTCTGGTACTTTTGATGTTTGGCTAAATTTTGCCTTATTTACCCTACTTTTTTGGCGAATTACTACCTGTAATAAAGGAACATCCTAATAAACTAACGAAAATAACACAGATAAAGTTAAATAAAAACTAAAAACAACACAGAAAAGTTCTTATGTTCTATAGCTTCAGCTAAAGTTGAACCTGATGAATTGGCAAATTCGCCATCCGAGTAAAAACACACGCAACAACATTGACAGTCATTATGTTTTCAACTTTACCACCACTGGTGGGTAGAATTTTGTTTTAATTCAGAAACATTAATTAAAATATATATGAACAGTAAATAAGTGTTGCTTTCATATTCTTATGTAGAGTAATGACGATATGTTTTCACATGTGCGCATTTACAAACGCTATCTCACTTTTTTTCTTTACCATTAATGGTTAGCTACTTCAATTGTTTCATTTACTGTATTAACATTAAATAACGTTATTTAAAACAGCCATATTATTTTTTTTACATTAATTTTACTACAGCTACAACCAGGGTCTTATTTTCTTCAGTTTTATAAGTAGAACCAATCAGTCACTGGTTTTGTAAACATTAACGAAAACAATGCCGTCTCGTCTCCTCGTGTGTTTTAATATTCTACGTATTATTAATGAATTGTATTGTTCATTTTGCACACAAAACATTAATTCAGTCAAAAAGACATTTAGTAATCAACAGTAATGAATCTTTTGTGCATAAGAGAAATGATGCTCTTTACACGATTGTGCACGTCTGAATGTTGGCAGGCCGCTCAAACCCGTCGAACTTCGAGTTTCCGCCTTCGAAATTTGAAATTGGGTACGGTTTTTTGTCCAAATAAAAAATGTCGAATTAAAAACTCGCAAAATTTGAGAACCTACTGTACCAATATTATCAACATGAAATTTTATGATTTTTTGAAAATACAGTACAGTAGTACCGTACAAGTACTGAACTGTACCTATAAATCAATGTTGGGAATTTCACTGATAAGTGATCTTGATGTCAGCCATACAACTATACAATTCCAATATGACATTTAATTAATTTTTTGCATAATGATTCACTAATGTATCTACCACTTAATCTAGGCATGTTAGAATTTTTAGTTATGCAGAATTTATAGTTGTATGATCATGCTTTATATCAAATGTTGACCTGTGGGGGGTCTTACTTTCCTTGTTAGTGAAATATTTGTTTTTTGCTAATAGTTGATCAAGAAGACTGAAACTGTTGACTCAGGCAGGTAGTTTTTAGGTAAGAATATTGAATGCCTTCTTCAGGTGTCTCTTGTGTTTTTACTATACAAGGATAATAAACAGTAAGACAGTTCGACCAAGAATAACCAACAAAACCATCAGATGCAGGGAAGAGCCTGTAACACCATCAGTTAAAATAGTTACTATGATTTGCCTACAGATTTTTCATTAAACATGCATTCTTTACTTTCATGTTTGTTTAAGCACTTGACCATTATTACATCTCCCATAGGTGATTGAGCGTCACTTTTGGCTGAAGCACAAAGAGATCATCGAACAAGTAGAAGGCTGGATCACCAACATGGAGGCTCTCAGTGAGAATAGAAGAGCAGGGAAGAATATTGCCCATAACACTGTAGGTCTTAAGGTAAGCTCCTGCATTGTGGACATTTTTTTTTTTTCTAATATTTTGAACTAAACTATTTTAATCTTTCATATTAAAGAGTTTAGGCACTGTGACATGATTTAGTGATGTTTATATACATTATAACCTTTTTGACAGTTTGCTATACTGCACTGCCTATTTATAATGTAAAATTAGTTACACACACACACACACACACACACACACACACACACGTACATATACTAGTATATCATGAGTCTGGAAGCAAGGGAAACATTATCTTAGCCATAACTTGTGTTAGCTGCCTTTACTTTCTCTTTTTGTAGCTCATGATATTTACTCTTAACTGTCTTTACTCATAGTTCTCAGGAGCAACCTGCTTAATCAACCAACCTTGTATTTTGATTAAATGATATTCAGACATTAAATTTGGAGATTTCCTTATATTATCTCACCTCATATTATATATAAATGCTCTGGGGTAGTTATAAATCCTCTCAGCTTTGAGCTTTTGAGTGGACAGTATGCTGTTAGTGGCTTTTTGCATCACATAATGGGGAAAAAATTCTGTTCATCCCTTCCACATTGGCATACTTCTGTTGATGTTCCTACTAGTGCTTTCTTCAGGCATCTTCATAACTCATGAGCCCCATTTTTTTTCATCACATATGTTGTACTACATGTAATAGGTACAATATTAGTTTATAATTTTTTCTGGGGAGGGAAATTTTATTAAAATATTGTTGCTATATTATGCCTTTTGAGAGAAATTTGCTGTTAATGAGTGCTGCTGGGTTGTATAAATTTAGTTCTGTCATTTCTGCTACAACGCGTGTTTTGTCAACACGAATTGGCTATAACGCGATTGATGAATAGAAGAATGATATTTGTAAAACTCGAATGCGTGTTAGCAGTAACACGATTCCACTCGAACGTTTTAAGTGTACTGTCGCTTGGCGCTGGGTTATGCAGTGTTTACAGTTCACGTTTGACATCACATGTTCAATTGATTTATGTGTTTTGTTTGTGAAGTGTTATTTGATAGGGACTCTATAAATTTCATCCTTTTTTTTTGCAAATTTAGCTGTTCCCATAAATACTGTATGAAAAAAAAAAAAAAATAATAATATTTCGCAGTGCGGACTAATAGCGTTTTACACCCGCGCTCTCTGTTTCCATCACACAATCAGTTGAAACACGTGGGTTGTTTTGAAGCGTCCTCGGTGATTTTTGCTTACTATTTCTCCAATTTTGTGGTATTAACTGTGTTACATTTACTGTATGATATCATTATTAGATATGAATGTAACATTTATTTAGACTGTGCTATCCTTTGTGTTAGGCTAACTACTAAATTTTTTTTCGATTTCGAGTAATCTGCACCTAACCCTATTTTCTCCATAAGCCCTGTTATTTCTATTGCGCAAATTTCTACAACGCGAGGTTTTACAAGAACACAACTATCACGTTATAGCAGAACTGACTGTACAGTCGGCCCTTAACATACACGGGGGTTACGTAACAGAGATACCCGTGGATGTTAAAAATCCGCGTAGCTCCCCCCCCCCGCCCCCCCAAAACCCTGGCCCCCCATGTCCTTATTTACCGTATATACCTGTGTGTGGCTCGAGTTTTTAAGACCAAATTATTTGGCAAAAAATTGGGGGTCGACCTCTAAATGGGTAATAGTTTTGTTAGGTTGAAAAATATTTACCAGTAACTACCAGTAAACAATGGAAACGATGCACCAACGCACCACCAGCTGTGAGTGTCGGTACAGTTGCCAGGGCAGATCTCTTGCGTCATCATAGCAAACCCAAAGTAGCCAAATCCATGGTATGGTAGCACAGGACGATGTAAAACAAAGTATTCATTTATTAAAGTGTATTTATAGATACTGTACATATATTTTTGTTCATTACATTTGAAACATCAATCTTTGTTAATTAAATTTGAAACAAAAGAAAACTACGATACCGTATTTTCATTAAAATATTACATCACAAGTATATTTTACCTTAACTGTGACTGAATGAATATACGTATTCTCAGAAATAAATATGGAAATATAATATTTTTGCTGGAATGACGTACATATTACAGTGGAAAGTGGGATAAAATCATGACGAAAACAATGACTTTCGCTTTCTTTCGTTATTCAAAAGATGTTACCGTAATCGCTTTTTGAATGGTTTTCAGTTAAAAAACTGTTGTACTCGTATTGTATTACAATAATATTCTATCCTATCATTAGCCTTATAATCCCACAACTGAAAACCATTCGAAAAGCGATTACGGTAACATCTTTTGAACGAAAGAAAGAGAAAGTCATTGCTTTCGTCACAATTTTATCCCACTTTCCACTGATATACGTACATCATTTCAGAAAAAATATTACATTTCCATGTTCTCAGAAATAAATGGTAGTTTTGTTGAAACGTAATGTACAGTATTTAATATTAAAATGCAAAAATAGCTATAAAAACAATTAATACACCCGTAATGTACTGGCTGGCATCTCCACTCGTCCCTGCTCCCGCGTCCAAGGTCACCACTCCTCCCAACTCGCTCCCTACTCTGCCTCCTCCACCTCCTCACCGTCACTACTGCCGACAACAAACACAAATGTTTTGTGAATAACTGCACCTCCACTTCCTATGTACAGTACTGAACTGTACTGTGCTGTGCATTTTTACAAACAATAAACATGGCAAGAAAAGCTATTAAAAAAAAGAGATAAAAATTTCACTTTACTGTACAGTACCTATCCTCGGCGGCAGGACAGGGGTCGTCGGGCTCATCGCCACTCAATTCCATAACGGTTGGTGAAGTGGGGGCGACGGTGGATTCAGCTGCTTCCTCACTGCCGCCAGTGATTGATGGTGTTAAATCTCTCCTTCGGTGATCAAAGAACATGGTGATGGGGAGTTGTCGTCTCTTTCTTTTCATTTCTTCCATGATGTTTTTGTATGGAGCAAAAACGTCATCCATCCCTCGCATGAATTTCAGGGCATGCACCATGGAGGGGTCCATACTATAGGCCAGGTTTTTCAGTGCCTCAATATTCCTGGTCATCTCCCCCAACTTCTCCAACTTTATTTCTTGGTGCTCTTCCTCTTCCTCATCCTCTTTCCCTTTCGCTTCCTCTTCCTCCTCCTTGCCCGAGTCTACTAACTCCTGTAGATCCTCCTCGGTCAGCTCAGTGTCGTGCTCTTCAATTAGCTCCCTAATCTCGTCCTCTGCCATGTCCTGGAAGCCTTCAGCAGCCACTTTCCTTGACAGTGCCAGGGTCTTTCTGAATATTTTCATTAAAATCCATCAAAATTATTTTCCTTGTCATTGTCTTAAGCACCAAACAGCTCCTCCCAGTCTTCTCCTTGAACAGGGCTAGAGGGTACGTGTTTTTCGAATCGTTTTCAATTAAAAAAATGTTACAGCACATGTATATTTTACCTAAACTGTGCCTGAATGAATATATTCTCAGAAATAAATAGTAGTTTTGCTGAAACGTGATGTATTTCATTGTAAAATAGGATAAAATACATGACGAAAACAAAAGACTTTACCTAACCTTCCGATGTTCAAGAGATGTTACTCGTTTTTTTAACAGTTTTCGGTTAAAATACTGTTATATTACAATGATATTCTATTCATACTGTGCTTGATATACTACATTCACGGAAATGTAATATTTTTGCTGAAATGACGTACGTATTACAGTGGAAAGTGGGATAAAATCGTGACGAAAACAATGACTTTCGCTTTCTTTCGTTCAAAAGATGTTAACGTAATCGCTTTTTGAATGGTTTTCAGTTAAAAAAGTGTTGCATCACAAGTGAATTTGGATAGAATATTATTGTAATACAACAGTTTTTTAACTGAAAACCATTCGAAAAGCGATTACGGTAACATCTTTTGAAAGAAAGAAAGCGAAAGTCATTGCTTTCGTCACTTTCCACTGTAATACGTATGTCATTTCAGCAAAATATTACATTTCCATATTCTCAGAAATAAATAGTAGTTTTGCTGAAACGTAATGCATTTCAATGTAAATTAGGATAAACTACATGAAAACAAAAGACTTTACCTAACCTTCCGATGTTCAAGATATGTTACTCGTTTTTTTAGTAGTTTTCGGTTAAAATACTGTTATATTAGTGATATTCTATTCATACTGTGCTTGATATAATACATTCACGGAAGTGTAATATTTTTGCAACTACAATGCCGATGTCAACACAAGCGTGGTTACAGCGAGACTGACTGAGTGAGGGAGAGCTATGCGTGTGTGTGTGTGAGGTTGCGGGAGCGGGCGGTGTCCCGTGTTCGGTGCCGCGTGCGAGTTGAATGGCGCGCGATTTGAATGTACTTCAATTACTTCAATGTACAGAATATTCCTCCGGCGGGGCAATCTGCGTATTTACAAATCCGTGTATGCTAAACCCGCGTATGTTAAGGGCCGACTGTATAGTAATATCTAAGTCAGCCGGAACTATAATTTCCTCAGAATTTTTCCCCCAAAAGTATCTCGATTCCAGTTCTGTGAATGAGTTTCCGAGGTTGAAAATCAGGCCAATTAAATTCTGGAAATTCCAGAAACTCAAAAACATTTTTCCAGGTCTGGGAGCAAATTCTGAGGATGAAATAAAGAATAATTCTGGAAATTGTTGGGAAAATTCCCGAAACATTCCATTTTTCCGGTTCTGGGAGCAAATTTTGAGGATGAAATAATGCGCAATTTCTGGAAAATTCCGAAAAACTTATCCCGGTAAAGATTCCGGGAATGTGAAATTTTTCATGGTTTGAGAGTCGCCTCGTTACCCGGAAATCTCTCCTCCCCGGAAGAGCTCTACACCAATTATTCTGGCTAACGGGGATATCACTCTAATTGGACATCTTGGGGCTTTTATTGTGGAAGTGGATCACCATAGCTGAACACATCATATATGCCAGTTAGAGGAAGTTAAAGAAGAGAGTGTTTGTGTTGCCTTGATACTTATAACCCAGCATAATAACTAAAATGCATAGAAGAGCAAAAACCTGCATTTTGCCTTTATTATACAGAATTGTACTGTATTGACAAAACAACATTGTGGGAATAGAGGTAGTTGTCAAATTAAATGTCAGTCATTACCATTGACATAATATTTGAAGAAAACGATGTGGTATTTGAAGTTAATAAATGAAATTGATGATGGTCTTAGTAAAACTGGATATGCAGAGATAAAAAAGTTGTAAGGATTAGTTGCAGAGGCTCTTTGATTGGTTAGAGATATGTAGCTTTTATTAACACCTTTATTGGATTTTAATCTTGATTATTTCATCAATTGCCTATGAATAGAAATATGTTTGTCTTACATTTTTATCATTTCAGAAAAACTTCCAGTTACTGAAAGAAGAATTCAGGAAAATGAGTGCCCCACCTGGATTAGAAAGCATCCCAATGTCATCCAGCATAACAAACACAAGTACATGTAATAGATCTCCAGCAGCCTCACAGTTGCGTGACTCAAAGGCACTGGAGAAGGAAAGAGAATCCACCCAGGATGAAAAGGAGAAGGAGTTAAGAGGGGCAACAGGGGGTCAAGCTGGGGGACCAGTCCGCACTCGGATTAGGAAGACCTCAAGAGCCAACTTATTTATGAGTAAACCACATTTGGATACTAATAAACACAGCATTCATAGTTCAGGAATACCAGTTAGCAAAAGCAGCAATGCTGTTATCAATAGCACAACAGTGAAGCCCCTACACCAGGGTTTACCCACTCAGGAGACTGCAGAAGGAGGAATTGCGGTCTTACCCCCTGGAGAACCGCACCCAGTGACTGTGATGCCAGAACTCGTTCAGGCGACTAAAGCCACAACTTGCCCAAGCACAGATAGCAAAGCAGACAGTGCGACAGTAGAAATGGATGGAGAAGTTTGTAATCATGTGAATCATTCTAGTTCCTCAGTCAAAGATAGTACTCCAGACTCCCCTAGTTCACACACCTCAGCTGGCATGACCTGCTAGCACCACGCACTAATGTGTTTTTTTCCTATAGACCCCAAGGCCAATCTTGCATGAACATTTTGGTGCACTTTTGTTAATTTTCACCCAAAGTTGAGCTATTTTAGTTTGCCAAGAATGAGAAACTTGGATAATAAAGATATTTTATGGTTTTAAACATCTTCACCGGTGTTTCAGTGACAAGTTTTCAGTACATTCCAGAGATTGGTTTGGTCACTTGTCTGCTGTCGAGGTGGAGTACAGTTGTGTGAGCTGTCATGTGGACATTTATATTTAGAAAAAATGGACGTGTTAGTGTGAAACCGAAGAGGTGACTGTGATTTAATTAATATAGTCAAAACTCAGTGAATTTTATTTTGTTTGATAAGTTCAAAGACCTGTCACCGGTACATTCATGTACTGTGCATTTGGGATCTGACACAATGGCTGACACGCACTGCAAAACATAGGAAATTTCTTTGTTATTCTGTCAGAACTGGATACACAATTATTTAGCAATTGTCTGCATGACTTGTGTTTGCTAGTCAGTGTGTGAATTGTGTTCAGTGTGACTAATCGTATCTTTCAGTTTCATACTGTATTGTATTCACTAACACATAAGAAACATATGGATATGTGCTGTACAAATTAATTCTTATTGCCTATTTGTGATGTGCATAGCGTATGAAGTGGAGGCGTGAATGAGCGTACGTTGGTCGTGCACCCGCTGATTGTTAGTCTTGTGATGGGGTGCACTTGACAGAAATCACAAGTGGTGAAAACATTGCCTTCTGAGTGTGACTTGTAGAATGTGATGGTTTGATTTGTTAATAATTTCTTGTCTAGCTCTCAGGTACTGTATATTCATCATGCCTTTATTAAGTGGTCATCGGTTGAACTGCGGCATGAGTGCTAACAAGATGATCATCTTTGCATATCGTGATCTATAGGGAGAATTTGTAAATGATTCTTATTCACTTGGTATAGCTTATAATAGTTTTGTAAATATATATAAATGTCAACAGTAATTTAGCAAAGTAAAAAGTACATTATGTAAATGTTTTGTTTTTGATCAAAAGGATTCCCTTTAATGTCGTCATACCAACAAAATTACCATTGCTAGTGGTTGATTGTTAAATAATTGACATCAGTATGTTGTGTTTATTATTCCAACAGTTCCTCTAATAATTCTTGACTATTTTGTGGTAGATGATTATATTTCAAGTAGTGGAACATAATTACCTACCATGCAGCTCTTTTGTAACACATTTCTAAAATATAACCTGTATATTTGACAAAGCATTTTTAGAAATACATTGTCTCACAAACACACTTAGCTTAGGCTTAGTTAAGACTGAGAATTAAAGGCTTTCTTTGATAATGTGTATTTTATGTATGTATGTATGTGTAGATGTGTAGATGTCCTGTTTCCTTCATGAGGGGTACCACGAGAGATAAGTCTTCAGGCTTCCCCTTTGTAAAGATGTCTTATAAGACTAGTCTGTGACTTCAAACTCTCAAAAGACATTACTAGACAGATCCATATCCTTACAAGACCTTCATAGACTTGTTCATTACATTTACGAGACCTTTTTACTTTGTTTTATTCTAGCTAGAGGCTCTTCATTTGTGTATCCACATCTTCCTTGCCCCTCTAACATTACTTGATTCCATAGTTGGTAGGCTAGTGGCTCTGAAACGTATATTCAAGCCTCTAAATTCAAACATAACCTCTTGATCTGCCAAATGATTGTCCAGGGACAATACCACTAGCTCAGGCAAGTAGTTGTATGTGTGTGTCCACCATGTGCTTTGAGATTTAATTTAATTTTATTTATTTATTTTTATAATTTATTTATTTATTGTCTCAGCTGTTGTGCAAGTGTCTTAATCAGTTTATGAATATGACCTCAGTTATTGGTAATATGTGGTCTTCTTAGTGGACGTGCTCTTCATCAAGATGTATCCTTTGCATCATTTTGAAGGTTTCAGTCATATTGTTAGTTCTGCGGTATGTTGTTGATGGATTTTCACTTTCCTGAGGTAGTCTTTTTAACTATATTTTTAGACCGAGTATCAGTTTCATTCTGAACATTATCATTTACATGGAAGTCTTTCATCTTGTGTTGATGCCATTTTGCACTGCCGTCCTCAAAATGTGGTCACACTTGGGCCTTGTTCAACCTTCTGAAGTTTTCTGCATCTAGGTTGTAAATGGTTACCAAATCAGGTCAAGCATCTGGTTTGATTTATAAATTTTATCACCTAGAACTCCCACAGCCTTCTTTTTCTCTGTCCTCTTTAACTCAAATTCTTTCATTTTTACCTGTCTTGTAATGTGTTATTTGGCTTTGTTTTCCTGTCCTGCCTGTAGACAAAAATTTTCTGGATGAAATCAAAGTAACCATGTGTCAAGGTAGAATTGAAGCTGTTTCAGATCTTCATCAGATTGACTATATTTCAACATCTTCATATCATCCTTGCCCACTCACACAAGAACCCAATTACAATGACTGCTTTGTATCATTCAAAAAGTAACACCATAGCTGCCAAGCTTAATAAGTACATACTAATACAGGTATGACTTGAAAGGTATTTATAAATTGATCCATTACCTTCAAACACACTAGATCTTTCAAGACCTTACTCTTAGAAAACCTATCCAGACAGAGATCCCTTTCCATTACTGGATACCACCTAGGTTATTCTACTGTATTATCCTTACAGTACTCTACCTTCCTAGCCTGATCACTTTCATTACAAGACTTTCCTAGACTAATCCATTGTTCTCAGGTACATAAGAGACCATATTAGTCTTGTTAGTTATTCTGTTAAGAATTTTTAGACTTATTACTGATCCTTTACCCCTGTTAGACTGATTCATTACCTTCACACCAACAAAACCACCTCCAGACTGGGTCATTGTACTCATACTCACTAGACCTTTCAGAGTCTAGACTGGTGTACTACTATTTAACTCAATAGACCTTACTAAACTGATTCATTTTTTCATAACATCAAAAACCCCTTGTAGGATAATTTATTGCCCTTAGTGGTAACTAAACTTTGCCGTCTTCCATAAGATGTCTACCTAAAGTTATCCATTACATTTACAAGACCTTACTGATCCATTTCTCACAAAATACCTTCCTTATTTGATCATCTACCATACAAGACCTTCCTAGACTTGAACAAATTCCTGAAACTCTTATAAGACCTTCCTAGACTGATTTAATAACCTTAAATCCTCACCAGATCTCAAGTATTTCTTAGACTGTTCCATTATCTTTAAGCCCTCACAAAACTACTCTAGACCTCCATTTTTTTGATGAAAAGCACAAGAATTGCTCAGACTATTGGTGTTGGCAAGTCTGTAAGTTAGGTGTCCCCTTGCTGAAGACCAATAATCGGAGTATTTTGAAGCAAGTTGATTTGAACTGATGGAGGTTATATGACGCAGGAAAATGACTGTGACCGAGTTCCACAGTGCTTGTCTGTGGCATTACTGGGTTTTATTTGATAGAGGTTTTTCAAAATGGAATTTCAACAGAAAGGGCACGAATCCCTCACAGATTAGTGGGAGATCTGATATATCCATGTAAGTGTGCAATACTGAAAAATCTCTGATATCAGTATTTTTTTTTATTTTGATGACTTTTACTGCATTGAATCTGGTAGGTGAAATGCCCTGACACTACAACCAGCCCACAGATAACAGTTTTCCATCTGGGAATGCACATAGCTAATGCAAATGGTTGCTAATTGTTCTTTAGTAATGAAAGGCCTGGCTCAGAGTGAGTACACTCTTTATTGAAGCATTTTTGGCTAATGCTCCAATGGAAGTGTGGCATGGTAAAAGAAAGTATGGGTGGTGCATAAATCTCAATCCTGTGTGGTGATTGGACAGTGATATCAAAATTAATGCTGAATTATGCAGTTTCATTCTAGACACTAAAAATTATATATTTTGTTTTTAATGGCATTTAAGGAAACCAAGATGACAGCACCCCATGCAGCTATGTGTTTGACGGTCGGTCCTCCTGTAAGATAAAGGAAGGTCAGTGGCCCATGTAAGATCCCTCCATCGCTCTTGAAGTTTTTGCCAAGGGGTAATTTGAAGCCCAGTACATGATTCTATGGCTTATGCTGATAGACTGTTCCATAGGTCTACCACCCTCTGTGTGAAGAAGTATTTCCTTTTGTTCATTCTGTAGGATGGTGCATGATATCAAAGAAATGGCTTGGGTTCACGTTTTCCATCCCTTTCAGGATTTTGAAAGATGCAATGATAGCAACTGTGATGTGCCTTGTCTGAAGGGTTATTAGTCCAAGGACCTGTGGTCCACTTGGATAATCAAGATGACAGTGTTCCAGAATCATCTTAGTCACTCTGTGTTGAACCTTTTCTAGGGAGGCTAGATTTCTCGGGGTAGGATTTCTATGCCTATCTGCAGTAATCCAGACTGGGATTTACGTGATATTTGTACAGTTGAAGAAGCAGTTTCCTCTCTGTGTAATTCTTAAATCTTTTTTTTTTTTCCACTGCTGCCTACAGCGAATGATTTATCACAATACCTAGATTGTTCTCTTTATTGAAAATAACCAGTATGTTAACAGAATACAGTTGTATTCGTTAGGTTTGTTTCAACATTAAAGAACATTTGCTTATCTTGAGACCATTTGAACAGCTCGCGCAGATCTTTTTGCATTGTTGCATCATCATCTTGTCTTGCTACTTTCTCAAATACTGTCCAGTATCTATGTGTCATTTGCAAACTTGACAGTGTGGCTTGATATCTTTTCGTTGACTGTATGTTGTTTATATAGATCGTAAATGGATGGGTCCAAGTGTGATACCAAAGAGCATTTTTATGCCCACATAAAAGAGCATCACATTATACAGTTATTGTTTACATGCAGGTGGTTGATCTAAAGGCAATGGTAACCTATGCTGACAAATAAAACCCTTTAATTATACAAATGAAAATAAAACTGTTCAAAAAAATTTTTATACAAAAAATAAAAGACATCTTATGATACAAGATCCATTTTTTACTATTTCTTGTTCAGAGACCTTCCTAGACTGAATCATTACCTTCACATTCTCATAAGACCTTCCTAGACTGATACATTACCCTCACACTCCCACATATCCTTCTTAGACTGATCCATTACTATTACACTTGGAAGACCTCTTTAAACCGACACATTCCCCTCACGGACTCGAAGAACCTTCTTAGACTGATTTACTACCCTCTCACACACTTGATTTCCCAAACAACTGGGGCAGTGAGCTCTGTGAGTCACAACAAATGACCTAGAGAGACCAATACATTAAGGACTTGTTCCTCTTGTGGTCTGATATGGATGCAGGTTTCCTTCAGTCTTCACTTAGAAAGACATAAGAAAATTTGAGAAAAATAAATAAATAAATGTGATGAGGTCTTAGAAATAAGACTAACACAATGTTTTCCTCATGTATAACTTGACAGCATTTCATGTCTCCTTGGGTATTAATTATAATTAATCCCCGAGTTATCAGCGGTTATACATGTGGAGGTGAAATGAAAATTATCACTTTTTTTTTTTAAGTTGTAGAGTAGTTTATTGTGATGAAAATTGTAGAATAGCATCAAAGATAAAAGATGGAAAAGCAGTTCTTGTACATAAAAAAAAAAGATGTGTTAGAAGAAGTACAGTTGACAATGTGCCTTCTGAAGGGCAAGTGACCTAAGCTTAATCAAGGCTTGTCAGGTATACCATGGGTAAGAGAAATGAGAACATATATGAATATATTTTAATCAGATGATGCTACTGTCCTCTTATTTAATGACCTGAAGGTTATAATTTGATGAAAAGATGTAAGACGGAAGGAAGTTCAGTAGTTGGGGAGTGCAAGGCAGGAAGGTGAATGATTAGGATCTTTGAATTAAGTTGCATGGGGTTTAATAAGGGGGTTGATGGGTTTGGCTTCATTCACATACTGATGGGGGAGGACGGTTTTGGTGTGATCTGCGTGGGAGATGTCTTGAGACTGTTAATAAAGGTAGGTATCTGCGAGTAATATTCAGTGGAAAAATTATAATTTAGTAACAGTAATACAAGGGAGAAGAGGAAGTTTTTGGTTAAGTTATTAAGGGAAGTGTGTAATTTTTTTAAGATGAGGGACAGTAAGAGACTTTGTAACAAACGGCTGATGCCTATTGTAGAGTACATTACTATTAATTCTTACACTTGATGTACTGTACAAAATATCTCCAGACTGGGAAAATGGATATTGGCCAAACTTGCAGTATGTGTACAGTACTTAATATAGCCCTGAACCCGATTGACTGTAGGATGTTGAGCTGTATGACATCTTGGGCAGTAAGTGAGGCTATG